TGTTGAATGAATGGAAGCTTAGAATACTTCCTAGGATTCCTTGAAGTATGTAAGCCGTGCTACACATCATTGACATCACGATTATATACATGTTTACTCAAAAGTATATTGCACTAAGTTCAGTAGAGTTTACTGCCAGGAAGCTGCATAAGGATTGCAGCCCAAGTGAAGTGATACCGAAGGAGTGATCATGAGAATTCCAGGCCAGGGATTTTATGTCACTAGTTCTTGAAGAGGTGGCCAGTAGCCTAAGTCAAGGGTAGGGATGTGTGAGGAATCGAATGCAGGGATGAAAATGTGGCCCAGTGAAATTCTAGTTCACTGGTCCTGTACTGGCCCTTACCCACTATGATGCAAGTCAAGCCGGGTAATGGATTTCTGTCTACCCAGTCTGTAGTTCACACATTTTTAACTCTAAAGAAATTTGTATAATTTTTCATGATTTGTGTAATTTCATGCAAATTGTATAAATCATGGTTTATGAAAATAACCACCTCAATAGCATGTGGCTCTTGAATTATTTGCATGAATCAGCCAATTTTACACAAATTGTTTTAGATTCTTGTGCTTTTAAGGATGCAGACTCATGAAAGATAAGTGAAATAATGTTAAACCAACTGATTAATGTTAGGCAAATGGTCCAAATTGTGCTATATGCACACATTTCCACATTTTCCACAAAAAATTACAAGCCACAGCCTGTCTTAGGGGTGGAAGTCCACAGAAAAGGCCCACTTCAGATTATTTCTGATCATCAGTTTGGAAGTGAGTAGGAAGTCCACTGAGCTCAAATGAGGCAGGATTCACACCATCAGCACATCCCTAGGCAGCAGTAGGGAGCATGGTATCTATGGGCACCAGTGTACCCTTGGACACCTTTCTTGCCACTCACTGAGGTACCTTAGCCCACATACTTTAAAAAAAATCACAAAATGTCTTCTTGCCAGCTGAGATCTTCTCTTCCCAAGAATGGCCCCGGTCCACATGGGGCGCTCAGAGGCTTTCTTAGGCAATGAAGATGGCAGTGGTTCCAGGCCAATGCTTTTATCTCCGATGCATCCATTTTGTCATAGTGCCTTAGAAAGCTTCTCAAATTGCTGAGAATTTAGAGAAGACTCTGTCCTTGGTCTAAGTCCATCTGGGATGGTCCATCATGCATCCTGCCAAGTACCACTGAAGGTACTGAGGGAAAGGCAGAAGGGAGCTCCTGTCATCAGCTTCTGGTCTCCTTTTAAATTTTCTAAATTAATTTTTCAATTTGGTATTTTAAATTGTAAATCAAATTCTGTGCCTTGGCAATATAAATGCCAAAAATACACATAACTGCACACAAGCCTGTGAATTTCATCTATTAGATTTCCTCTAAACTCAGTATTAAACCCAATTCTATTAGTAAAACTATAGGTAGATTCAAAATAAAACACTGTCTCACCAAATCGTAGCAGATACTTTGATTCAGATCTATAATCTAAACTTGCCTTAACATGTTTTGTTATTATAATCTTACTACTATTTATTTTATTTCTACACCACCCAACAGCCAAAGTCTTCTGTGCAGGTCAGAACATTTTGGGTTTAATTTTACAGATGTACATCTCAATCTAGTGCTTTCTATTTCAGGACTGTTCATGGCCTTATTAAAAATGTTGAGTTATTGCCATATCACCACAATAAAAATACAAGTTCATTATAAATCTTCTGGCTTCTGATGCTGGTTAATTTTTTATAGTGAGCTTAAATGGTTTTTTATTTCTTACTAGGGAGATTCAGGGGGTCCTCTAACCTGTGTTAAAAATGGCTCCTATTATGTCTATGGAATTGTGAGCTGGGGAGACCAGTGTGGATTAAAAAATAAACCAGGAGTTTATACCCGTGTGACAAGATTTCTCAACTGGATTAGAACAAAAATTCAACTTGAGTCCAGGTGTCACAACTGATGAAGTCCTTCTAGAAATGAAGAAAGGTAAACTTCCTATTTGTTGATCCATCTTTCCAGCTATTTTGTCACTGAGGCTGCAATCCTATATACAGCTACCTTGAGATAAGTCCATTGAACTCAGTGGGACTTACTTCTACATAGCCAGTTATAGGATTGCATTGCATTCATTTATCTGGGATAAGCTCTCTGAGCTCAATGGAACAGTTGTTAAGCAGTATAAATTTCAAGTTCCACTGGATGAATTAGAATATGGCATCCTTTATTCATCTGAACTATAATATATTACCTTGGCATCTAGCTCACTTGCTTGGCTTTCACCAGTCTGTAGAAGGGTACATAGCAATGTGACTACTACTACTATCATCATCATCATCATCTTCCCATGAGGTAATGATTCCAAAGATAACTCTCATTTCAGCCTCACAAATAAGATGGGCTTGTCTGAGAAGCAGTGACTGGCCTTATATATTTCTGTGCAGTGGAATTTGATCCTGGGGCTTCCTAGCCTAAATCTACCCTCTAGTTACAAAAACTATATGCTGTCTCAGTCATGCAAGTTCACTCACACTCTCAAGGAATCACACAATTCCATATGGCCTTTCATTCCACACATTCCACACAGTAACACCCCTAAAGGATGATACATTTAAATTCTCAATATTCAACTATAACAGAATTCAGGAAATGAAGGAAAGCTGATCAACAATTGTGCCTATAAGCCAAGAAACGATCATTAAAACACAGTAGAATTATTTATGGAAAATGATTCTGCTGATTTATTTTCAGTACAAATACTTTTACTTTCAGCAAATCATGGTTCATTCATTTTTAGTACAAAGCTGAGCCTGCCAGTCATCTAGTACTAATTTCACTTGGCATCATAAATAAATACTAAGTTCCATAATACAAACATTTAAAATCACAGTATTCATGCACAAATATTCATATCAACACTGACTTCTTGTGAGGGGTTAGTTTTAACCCCTTTTAAGAAGCAAAATGACTTCTTGGTGTCATCCGCTATACTACATGGCTTGTACAGCAAGCTGAAAAACATATTTATTTTTGCATAACTGATGTCCATGCTTCAGTTTATTTCCTGATTGGCTGCATTTTTCTCCGCTTGACTTGCAGAATTTCTGCTGCATCGGGGTTGATTCTTACTTGTTGGGATCCATCTCCAGATGTCTGTTCCTGCAAACCAAAATAGATCTTAAATATCAGCCATTGAAGAAGACTATTGTGTAATTCCCATTTATTAAAAAACTATAATTAAAATATATGATATTTTGAAAAGCAAAATATCAGTTAACAAAAGACTATGCTGAGCCATCTTTCTATAGCTACTTTTTACAGCTTGGGCATTTTTCTAAATATATGGGAGGATTAATTCACTTCTTGGTTATGTTAGTTTCCTCATAATCTCTGTTAGTATCAAAGCAATCTTGGAAATGCTTTAGGATGAACTCATATGCATGTTGAGACAGAAAAAAAAATGTGCTACACACCATCTGGGAGTTCTGAGCATTTTTTTCTGACTGCACCTGCACTTAGAGAACGATCCTCACCCTGTTGACACCTTGCTGAGTGTGGTTAGGATGGGTTGGATTTTTTTCCCCTGCCAGTACAGCAGTACCTGGAGTATTTTGTGGTCTGCCTGAAAAAGCTGCATGGACACACAAGCACCACCAGGAAGTCAGGCTAATTCAAAGTACTTCAGGACTAGCCACTGTGTCCATTGTTCCTTTGTTTTTCTGACATGTCCCTGAATCTACTCCCTACATTGTGTCAGCCTGAAGCTGCTGCACTTCCAGTGGAAAACAAGTGTTTTGTTTTGTAAAAATGTTAAAATGGACAACCTGGGGTGGCAGTGCATCCCAGTCTATCCACAGTGAGCCAAGCAGGGAAACAGCAAATTGTCCACAAGCAGCTGCCTTCACCAAAGATGAATGCTCTGATCAGCTCCCTTAAGTGGCTTCATGAGGTGCTGAACCAGTCTGCGCAATAACCATCTTGTCTTATTTCATGCTAATGACAGAGTTCAGAATCAGTTCTCCAACTGTTGTGCATGAACCTAGCTTTGCTACTAACACAACTACACCAGCGGATCAAATGTTTCACCAGCATCCTGCCTCCCCAAGTGTGCTTCAGAATACTGCCTGTTTTTAAAGATCCATGGGAGTATCGACATGTTTATTCATTTGTTTCTTGCCTTTTATTTTTGTACTAACCTTTGTGTTTGGTGAAAATATGTCTTTATGGCATTTTGGCAAACCAGCCAACTAGTACCATGCACACCCAGCTTCTGCTACAAGTTTTTAGGCCTTTTTTCTTTTTTGAAAGAGTAACCCTAGAAATGGGAATGTTTGTTTGAGAATGATAATATGATGTGAAGGGGGGTTTCTGGAGTAGTCCCATTGTTCTAAAAGGTTACATGTGTCAACCATAGTTAGGATTTTAAAAAACTGTATTTTTTTAAGAACCTGTGCATGCTTGGATGCATTTTACTTGTGTACTGGTAAGAAAGCTTATACTGCAAGTGGCAAAAATTATTGTTGTTATTTATCAATACTTGGTCTTGGACTCTTTGCTTTCCCAATGGTCCCTGTACACTGCTGTTATATATGAGTTAGTGCCAAAACAAGTGTAAAAAGAAGCATTCTGTTTTGCATTTGAAGTTTCTTATCATCACTGCATGGAAAAAAGGTGGTCTGTTCATTTACTTACATTTTCTGAATCATACTGATCCAAAGTTCCTTGATTTCCCTGAGCATTTGCCAGCTCAGCAGCCCTTCTGGCCATTTCTACTTTGTAAGAACCTGGAGGGGTCCAGCCAATGCCTTTGATCCAGTTCAAATCAGATTTGTACTTGACCTGAAAAATTGATACAATCTTAATCGTGGATTCTTTCCAAGAGCATATACACAACACCATTCAAATCAGATAGAGGAACACCCAACACTATTTTGGTTTTCAATTTCCCTCCCTAACAAGAGGATGTCCTAGACATCCTAGAGATGGAGAAGGGAATTGGCTCCAAGCTGGTAAAGCTGGTAAAGACTACAAACACTTTATGTTCAAGTCTTTATTTCCATCCATACTGCCACATGTTCTCTGTCCTGTGCTTTCCCCACTTAATTACCCAGCTACTTTATGAAAATTCTAAGGACAGAATGTGGATTTGAAGATTTCTGATACAGAGTAAACGTAGCCTGGCCTTCTTTGCAAGGAGATTCTAGCCTATAGATCGAACATACTTACGTCACTCTGGAGTCTGTAGGCTTGTTTGGCATGCTTCAGATTGAGCTGTTCTGGGTCACACGTATACTGATGGAGGTGCTGCCTGTAGTTGACATCACTTATCAGTTGCTGACTTTTCTTTGCATGGATAAATCCTGGCTGATCTATTCGGCTCTTGAACTGAGCTTTGTTTCTGATGAAATCCCTCTTATACTGGTTGTCACTCTGTAGGTGGCCCATCTTGAGGAAGTGCCTCATTTTGGGATCCTCGTTCACATTGCGAAGTCCAATCTGTTGACCCCTATCCCTCAGGAAGGACTCTTTGTACTTGAACTGCAGGATGTTGAGACAGAGGAAGATTTATTACCTTAGATTTGGCCTACACAAGCACCCTTCTGTATAATTTTACACATGCTATGGCTTGTGCGAAATCAGTTACTATATCCAGAGGGCAGAACTACTATTTTCAGCTGATTTTTGATTGAGAATAAAATATCCTTGGTTTTGAGGAATACACAGGCAGTTACTAAGAGAATAATAAGAACAGAAGCAACGTAAGTATAGCAGTCCAAAATTGGCTTGAAGGGGAGATCCCCCACAAAGCACTGCAGCTTCTAGAGCCCTACAAATGTATACAGTGAGAAGTGATGCATTTTCTCACTGGTTCATGCTCTGAGCACTTCTTGGTGGTGCTTGTCCTCCTCACCCCCTGTCTCATATCAAAACCAAAACTTGTATCAGATTAAGGCAGGCATTGGTTTTAAAAAGTAAACTTGTCCTGAAATCTCAAGGGGGAATGGAGGGGCTTTGGATTTAGTGAATCCAAAACTCCCCCTATTCAGCCCTTGGAAGGAAATTCTAGGTTCACTACTAGTAGCAGTAACACCACTTGCAGTAAAAGTAAGCCCATGATACTTTCTACAGGTATAAGTGGGACATTCAAGGCAAATATCTCCCTGACATTGGGGCTCCAATCTGACTGCAAAGAATAACAAACAAACAAACATTGCCAAAAGGCCTATACAGTTAATAAAATGTGGACCATGCCTGAACTGAATCAGACTTTAAAAGTTGATAATATTCTGGACTGGTCTCAGTACCCTAGCAGTTCCAGATCAGGCTGAAATGTTGAATATCAGTTCCTAGAAGAAGCCACTTCACAGAATAAAGGAAAATGCAGGTCAGTGGGTATTTCCACAGCATATCATACATAATGTCTCTGTAGCAGATTAAGGTGACATGTGTGAATATAGGCACATGGGAAACCTGTGCCCAGAAGCCTCAATGCATTGTATCTTCTTGGTACATGTTTTTCATTCCATTGAAGGAGACAACTGTCTCCTTTTAAACTGGCAGACAAAAATCATGACATATGCTGACATGAGGGCCTGTCTTTTGGGAAATTTCTAAAGTGTTCTAAGATTGAATTTTGGAAAAGTAATGCTCCATACATCACTGGCAATTTCTCTGGAAGCTTTAGCTGTCTGGAAGGGAATGGCATCCAATCTGAAATCATAGCCAGCCGCTCGAGTCTGCTCCCAAGATGTTTTATAGAGTTTCTGCAATACAAGAGGAAAGAAAAGAAAGGAGGAAATTCTTCTTATTGTACAAGTTTGTGTCTGTGACTATAATAATTAAAAATAGGATAATTGATTGCCAGGTCAGTCATAAAGGCCGCTAAGACTTGGGATTAGCCTATAACCCTTCACTTTCTCACCTATACCTACAATCTTTATGTAGAATCCCATTTATGAAGAATCCCAAACACCACAATTAGGATTTTGCTTTGCATTTCATGCATACATTAATTTGAGTTTATCTGCTTTCTGTTTAAACTTTGATGCATCCGCCACATCAATATTGCATTGACATTGCCCCTATTCTGTCTCTTGAAACATCTAGCAGTAACATCTTGGGTTTTATAGCATAGGAATTCCAGTGATACACTCTCCATGATCTGTTACATCAAACATTTCTAATGCTTTCTGAGCTAGCTCTGTACCCTGATGGTTTCATCAACCTTTCCAAAATAATGAACTGCTTGATAACATATTGGAAATGATTAAGAGTATGGACCAGATGAAAATTCTGAAGAGAATATACTAAGTCTCATTTCAGTTCCAAGGGTTTATATCATAGCATCCCGCCAGAGAGATATTTTTCAAGCTTGGCCATTTTGGCTTACAAGAACAACAACAAAATAACACCAAGTCTTTTTGTGACACAAGATTAGCAATGAATGGATAAAACTGTCAATCATCCCTTCTCTTCATGATCAAAAGTGAAGATATCAGGTCCCCAGCCCATTTTACTTTAGTCACTGGACAACTTTTATTTACTGTGACATAGTGATAAACATGCCTATAGGCACATTCCAATGAGATCCTTTTCAAATTCATCCTCAAGGAGAGTTAAGTGTATAAGACAGGGCTTATACATTCTAACATACAATGCTAGAATTCTATAACATATTATTTTACTGATCTCTTCCATATCCATGATCCCATAATTATTTCAGTAGAATTCCCAGTTTTCTCAGATGAGATAAATCGAGAACCAGTCCTATGAATCCATGAAAATGATTATAAATGTCATTTTAAAAGGGTAATCCCAGATAAATCCAATTTAAATCCTTAAATTTATCTGGCTAAATCAATGGGAATGTAGCATTCCAAGCAAGGGGTGGGGAGAACTGAACAGGGCTACAGTCACTAACGCTAACACACTACGTCATTAATAACTTGAGTTCCATTCATTTCAATGGGTCTACTCTAAGTAAGATTAATATTGGGTACAACCCAAAGCTATTAGCCAGAAAAAGCTGTGATCCGTCCAATTTGTGGCATTTAGACAACATCCAGACATTTCCCGTAAATGTAGCCTTCTATTTAGCAACTGCTAGCTATTTCCTAGTTGTTTCCTGTCTTTCCCTTTTCAGACTGCCAAAGCCTTTGCCATGCTGCTGTGGATCATCCTGCAACACGTGTCCTTTGATTTGAAACCCCATGTAACATTTCACTTTATCACAGTTTGCCCAGTTTTTGCACTCATCCTCACACATTACATTCATTTGATTTGCAGCAGCTTTATACTAATACTGATGTGTGTGTGTGTTGTGTGCATGATAAGGTCAGTCTCTCAACAGCTTTCTGAGCATGGTATCTGATCCAATTGTATATCTACCAAAAACAGTTTCATTTTTAATGAGAGGCCCCCAACTCCTCCATCTCCCCATGCTCTCACTGGCTGTTTCAGTTCAGATACATACTGATCCATTTGAATGTTTTGAGAAGAAACGGTATATTTCAGACTTACAGCTGTGACATTCATCTGTGTATGGCCATACGGTTCTAGCTGCGTGAGCAATATATCTCACTTATTCCTTTCTTTTAACACAAGAGTAAAGGGCTGTCGGTGTACAATGCAAAATGTACTTCCTGTCTCCACTGCTTTTAGAAGCTAGAACAACCTTTCCAAAATTACCCTTTTCTATTTTGGATTCCAGTAATTGACTGAGGGCATTGTTTAGTGTGATTTAATGCAGCATAATTTCTTGAAATGGGCATTAACTTTTTAATCAAATAAATGCATGTAATTATTTCTTTATCCATCAGTGAAACGTGGGCCAGAGCACATTTATCTACAAAATTAGATTATGGGGAGTAGAACGTAGTCAGAAGTATTATTTTATCTTCATTAATGTTTTCTAATCTTTATGAATGCATAATTTGCTCTAAATCAGCTTATTCATTAATTGATTGCATTTCTATATCATCCATTAGCAAAAGTACTCTGGGCGGTTTATAAGACAAACCTTAAAGCCATAAAATACAATGATTTACTATAAAACTATGAGTTTAACATAGAATAAAACCAATGAAGTAACCAAGATGAAAGCCAGCAGCAGTGCAAAGTTCTAAAATGTACTACCATGATTTTTAAAGCTGAAGTGCTAAAAAGTGGAATCCCTACTTTAGACCCAGGTTCCCAATAGAAGATACCAACTCAGGACTAGTTCTTGAAAGCTACAGTGCTTCACAATGAACTGCAGTTGTGTTATTTACAAGATTACCAATTGACAATAAAAAGAACTATCACTTACATCACTGATATGGAGTGCATTGAGACGTGCTCTTATGAAGTCTGGGTGGTCAGGGGGTAGAGTATAACTGTGAATGGAGTCCAAGTGTCCCGCTCGGTATAGACGCTGTTAAATCAAATGACAACTCATTATTTGGTTTATTGGATGGATGCATAGGTAGGTAGGTAGGGGGATAGATAGATGAAATTTACCTATTTTACCAGATTACGACTGTATGCAATGCATGTAATTCAAGATTATATCTATGCTTCTTAACAGTTATTAAATGAAGAAATAAATTTAATTTATTAATGATACTTTCATATTGCTTGATACAGTAAAATTTCTAAGAGGTTTCAGTGAACATTTGCTGATCATAGAGCCTTATAAGATGTCTTTGACCATTTCATTACTGCTCAAGTAATGTTGATCTACTCCTAGGATGTACATTCTTTCTTCTTCTTCTTCTTCTTCTTCTTCTTCTTCTTCTTCTTCTTCTTTTAGTGATAGGCTCAGTTCCGCTTAGCTCAGGATTCAATCAAGAGTTATGCATACTCAGTTACTGGAAAGTGTTATGTGAGTAGGATGGCTTTTTACCAGGTATCCTGGATGTTTGCATTAGTTTGGTTGCAGCATACCATATTGCCTTAACATTTCACTTATATTTTTGTCCAAGTCCCAGATAATGTTTCAGAAGGTGGATATATGCATTTGATGTGTGATGTGTACATATGTGATACACCTCAATTCCTCATATTCTGTAACAATCAACTCTTGAAAGTTTGAAATCAATCCATACTTAGCAGTAATAATAACCCAAAACAGGAAAAGCACTTTACCTTTTAATGGCACTAGGAAGGGATAGTTCATTATCAATTTCTATGAAGATAGTTTTGGATTTTGAAAAAAATGCAAAGTTTTTACTGAGGATGAGTGTCAGTATAAGTAAGATAGATACATTTTTTCTGTGTAGATATTTTGTCACCAATGGGCATGGCTGTGCCCACAATCACCCCTCCTAGTATCCCACAGTCTTCCTGTCCCGGCTGATTTTATTGCAATCCTATCTAGATTATTATTTCTGGTTTTATTTCTATATAATCCAACATTCAAAACTCTTCGGGCAGTTTATAAAAACACACACAATACCTTAAAATACAATATAAAATACAGGTAACCATTAAAACAACATATAAATGTAGCCATTTTAAAACTGATTTTAAAAATCAAAATGTAAACAGTTTAAATGCCTAAGCCAAGTTAATACCTGTTAACAGCTAACACAATACCTCCATATTACTATTTAGAGAGGCTAAATGTATTAACATAGGGAGCAAGTTAGCCTGGTGATGAAAAGACAGTAGAGTTGGGCCAAGCAGGCCTCCCTGGGAAGCCTGCTGTATAACTGGAGCCTGCCCCTGAGAAACACCCCTCTTGTTGCTAAGAAAACAGCTTGGGGGTTGCAGACAGAATAGCCTAGACATTGATTGTAATGTATGGGTAGTCTGCAGTTCTAAAGGCATTCCGCCAAGTATTGTAGCTCCAAGCCATGTAGAGCTTTATAGGTTAAAACTAGCACTTTGACTTTTTCACCCATCTAGCTGGAGCATCTCTGACAGTTAGGAAGGAAACTGGAGAGACCTCCAGATACTGTTCATTCTGCAGTATCCAATCTTCTCCCTGCCCACCCAGTGCAGTTCTTTCCATTCTGGCTGTACATGGATGAGAAAAGCAGGAGAGAGGTTTAATTCACAGCTCGAGGTCAGAACAAGTCTCTCAGCTTGGATCTGGGAGTCTGAAAAATCCTGTGGCCCTTCAGACACTGTGTAAGGGCTACAGAATTTCTCCCTCCAAGTTTTGTTTCATTTAAACAAGCCACTGGAAGACAGACATGCAGTGAGTTAACAGCCAGAAGACTCTAGACGCACCCTTTGAACATAAAAATGGTGGATGACAGCTACTCGGGCACCTCATTTGGAAGCAAGCCCAGCCACTTAGAAAAGAAGCATGCTGAGAGTGGGTCAAACAGAGGAAGTGTTTACTGTGTGTATTTTTGTAATGTCAGTGTATGGTCTTGGTGGATGCTTTCCCTGTGCGCGCATGTATGTTTCTCTGACCAAATGCAAAATGTGTATTTTGTTGTATATTGTAGGAGCAAATGTGATTTGGTATTTGGCACACAAATTATACCTATGCCTTATGCTCAGTATTTTGGTCAGCTTAATTGCCTCTGAATTTGCTTTCTGTAAAATGAGTGTTGGAGCTGAAAAAAAGTTAGTTCAAATGGACTTTATGTTTTGAAATTAAAATCCCCCTCCTTTTGCCTTGTACGTAGAGGTTTATGTAAGTTACTTTTCTTTTAGAGTCACCAACTTGCCTCTTAGAAACAGTTTTTTTTTTATCAGTCACAACCGGTATGATGGCCATTTTATGGATGGGCAACCACCCATTCCAGGTATTTTGTGAGAATTCTAAAACAAAATCCAAGTATTCCTACTAATCCAAAAAGATCAGGAATCAGTCCTTCTGGATATCCTTCCCAGTGCCAGGACGTGCACATAGTACAGTGTGCCTGCATGCATCTGTCAACCATCCGCTCACGACAATTGGCCAGTTACAGCTAAATCACCTTTTCCACTGCCTTTGTTGCCATTATTAATATTCAGCGTGAACTGTGAAACATAATCACTTCTTCCCCTACCTCATTGCATTGAATGTAGCTGTTCTTAGCATGGATGAAGTCCAAGGAGTCTGCCACTGTGGTAAACTTCAGACTATCTGGCTTCTGACGATACTTTGTCTACAAATGGAAGAAAAATAAGAGAAACTGCAATTAAAAATATACTAAATGAAATTTTGCATGACTGACGGCAGGCAAGGAAAGAACATTTTCAAAATAAATACATGCACAGTATTATATAATGGATTTTCTGTGTTATACAGCACTTAAGAAGTATAAAAATCACTTAAGAAGCACACATAGAGATTTGCTCACTCTCCCCCCCCCCCCCCCGCCGATGGAATAGCTTGTTCAAAAGAAATATATTCTACTTGGATCCAGTGATCACCAGTAGGTTCACAATAGGTGTAAAAGAAGTAAATAAACAAAAGGAACGTTCCTTAGCAGTGCGGGTCTTTCCTGTACAACTGACCAGTGTGATACAAATACATTGTGGCAGGGAAAAACACACACACAATTTTTTTTTTCTGCTTCTGGGCAGGCAGACGTTTGTACTCTAAATGCCTCATCCTGCTATTTTACTTTTTCTCCAGTAATACTTTATACTGTTCAGGATAAATCACCTTCACTTTGCTGTCCATTTCAAGCACAGAATTTTCAGAACTTTGCCTCCCCTGCTTAGCATTCCATTGTTGGATTTGCTGCCATTATTCACTGCTTTGTGTTTTTGTTATTTCTGTTGTTGCTGTTTAGAGCCTCTCGCTCAGGGTAGGAGGATGTCACAAATGGACTCCTATCTTGTGTACTTCTCTTTCACAACGTACGCCCGTTGTATAAACAGGTTCCCACATCAAAAGGAAATGCTAAGCTACATCCATAAGTGTCATGTAACAAGGAGCCTTGATGGTAAACAATTCTTACAGACATACCATCCCATGAAAGATTTATCAGTACCTCACTGATGAGCTCTCCAGCCTTCTTTACATTTTCTATCTGAGGGGATCGGAGAGCCATCCATCCAAGTCCCTTCATGACGTTCAGGTCTGATTTGTAGCGAAACTGTCAAATAAAAAAAATAATAAAAAACACCTTTAAGCTTTATTATTTTCCCCTATCTAGATTGGACTCTCTGATTTGTATTAACATATTAATTTTTTCTATTTTCCATGCATATATCATCACACTGAGGCAAGCATCTCTGCATTCATCCATTCCTCTCAGAATATAATAATGTATAATACAAAAGATAGGAAAGCAGCTCCCGCAACTGAATTAATGATGGCAAGCAGAAAGTAATGGAACCTGTTGATACTGACAACCTTTCAAAGGAATTTTATGCAGAAAACCCAACTCAGGGATAGAAATTATTTTATTCAAAATCAATACAAGCATTCAGATTAACTCAGTTGCTCAAGAGGACAGCAATATTTTGGTTTTTTCTTGTGAAATTTCTACCTCCAATTGCTGACTAGAAGGAAAAGGAAATGACAAATTAATTCAGCTGCTTGGATTAATCTAATGGGATGTGCTCTGATCACCAGGAACTGTTCAATTTAGGAGAAGCCCAAGGTGCTGCTGCTTGGAGTATGTGGGAGCCCGGGACAAGTACCGGCTATTTCAAACTTTATGCAGCCTCACAATGAGTATTGCTGCTAGATCACTGTACACTCTTAAAGTGGATAATCCATGCATCTCCAAATATTTGTAGGTATCACATATACATTTACATATTAAAAACATATCTTGGGTATACAGTTAAAAACTTGTAATGCGTGAAATGGTCCTTAATTTGAAGGCCAACTTTAAAAAGACCTAACTGATACTATTTGCTAGTGATCTGAAACAAACAAACTAAAAATCGGCTGCCAATCTAACTAAACTTGCAACTATATATCCTTTTAAAATAAGCTGTCCAGAATTAAATATCCAAGCTCAAAGATCTATTCCTTTATCAAAGCACAGATGGTAAAAGTGTAACGCCCCATCTTAACACAATAGGTAAGGGCCATGCCAATGGTTAGCTTTATACTTAACATCCCAGCAATTTGTCTTGTGTCAGAAAAAGTACAAGGCATTTGGACTGTATAAAGAGGGGAATCCAACAGAGGTGCTTCCAATTTCACAAGGGCTTTCATGCTGTGAAGCACACAGAGACGCACACAGAACCCTTCCACAGTGCAGCATAGAGTTGAATTTGGTGTGTTATACTATGGATGCAGTAACGTAAGAAAACAGAATACAGTCACATGTGGCTGTGTATAGTCATACAGTCATTTAGGCTTGTGCTGCAGGCAATGGCAGTTCCTGGTGCATCATTCACCCAGACAAACTTCGGCTATGATTTCTAAATTTAACACTGTCCTATCATTGACCTCTCAATAACATCCTGAACTCAATAATCACACTGAAAATACACAAGGAGATGCAGAATTTGGCAGATGCATCTCTGAAGTAGACAGCATTATTCATTTCTCTTAGTAAACCAAGCAACATGTTGTCCTGATTTGCTGTAAGTTGTTTTAACATTTGCAGACACAAGACCCAAAGTCATACTGCCAAGTTTTATTAGAACTACATCCTATAAAGCACTGATTCCCAAAGTGGTAGGTACTGCTCTCCTGGAGCAGTGGAAATATGCGGGATGCAGTGACTGGTTGCTTTAAATTTGCAGTAGAGCAATAGACCTAACACAAAGAAAGAGGCGTGGAGATGCTAGGGTTGTTGCCCAAGAGGAAAGGAGTGGCAACCTGAAAAAAAACTTGGGGACCACTGCTATGTGGCATCATTCTTTACCTCGCTCTGCAGCAGGTGAGCTCTTTTTGCCCACTTCATCCTCAAGTCTTCAGGAAGTGCTGTATAGTCATGCAGTCTCATCCTGTAATCCTGGTCACTCACTAGGTTCTGGGCCTTTCGGGCATGAACTAAATTTACCATATCCAAAGGCAAGTGGTACTGTGAACGAACGTCTCTGAAACCTTTCTTGTACTCTTGCTCACTCTGTAGTTTAGCGGCATACAAGCAGTGTAGCAGATTGGTATCATCCAGAATGCTTCTGGCACCAATATGCTTCCCTCTCTCCTGAACAAAGTTGTGCTTGTACTGGAGCTGTGTAGGAGAAGAAAAACACTAATTAGTTTGCAAGCATGCATTTACAAAGTATTATGACAAGGAAGGAAGGGAGGGGAGGGGAGGGGAGGGGAGGAGAAATTCAGTATTACACTGAAAAATTTTCATGAAACTTGAGAATTAGATTTGGGTGCCAAGTATCTGAATATTTTGATATCCGGTAAGCCTCCCAAACCAGGATGTTGCCGAAATGGACAAACTAATATTCTAAAGTATATACTTCTATGCATGTTTATATTTCTCTTAATTTTCCATGGATATGTAAGTAGAATACACTAGAAAATAAAGACATGGATGAAGTCTTTGCTTAAATGGGTATTATTTTGCATTTTCTGGATAAAATGAAACTGAGCATTCAGAGATACTTTTTCCTACTGCAATTCCCACTGCAAGATCTTCAGCTTGGCTTGGCTTCTGATTAACAGTGACTCTCTTTTTTTAATTCACACAAAGAATCACATTCATAAGTAATATATTCTGTCTCACATCCTTGTCTCACATGATTAGGGGACTGCTTTAATTCAGTAAAATCTGCTTTAGACAATGTATTACATGAAGTTAACAAAAATTAGGCAAGATGGAAGGCTGCATAATTCAACTCACATCACTGGCAATTTCTCTTGAGGCCTTGGCTGTCTGGAAGGGGATTGCTTCCATTGTCAGCTTGTAGCCTTGAGCACGTAGATTATGCCAAGATTCCCTGTACTTTGCCTAAAGTGGAAATGGCAATGTTAGATTTCTTGCTTAATTTTTAAAATGCAAGTAAATTAACCAAAGGAACCTTCTCTTGATTGCTGTATACAGCTAGCAAAGCACCTCACATCTAGAGATAATATTTTCATCATTTGTAGACAAATGCACAGATCAATGCAATAAAAAGGTAAATAGTTCCTTATTCAGGTGGGACATTACATGATCCTTCTAGAATAGGTGTATAAGGGAAAGATGTGGCCAGTCCAGTGAGCCAGATGTAGTCGTCTATTAGGTATGGACAGATTTCAGTCCATTTCAACTTTACATGTTCATTTATAAATCTGGGCCAACCCATGTTCACATCTATCAGTATTTTTTTAAAAAAAGCACAATAAATCTATATTTACATATGTCTCTTGAATGTCTTTTCTTGCTAACTTAACATTTCTAACAATATTTTCCCTGAATGGGTAAATTTCTAACTGCTCTAAAATAGGCCTTCTCATACACATTTTGCTATATTTTTTGCGTTAAAAACTGCATTGCAAAATTCACAGAGCTTTAATATCAAAAACTGTGTTCAGGTCCATACATGAGTTCAGAAGGTGCAGATCAGGTTATGTTGCTTTGGAAACAGGGGTCCAACAAAATCTTTGGGCATTTCCAAAACCTACACAGATTTATTTATTTATTTATTAGATTTATATCCTGCTTTTTTCTTACAATCCACTCAAAGCAGCTTACATCATTCTTTTCTTCCTGCTCTCAGGCTTATCCCCACAACAGCAACCCTGTGAGGTAGGTTGGGCTGAGAGTCTGTGCCTGGCCCTAAGTCACCCAGTTGGCTCTTTAGCCAAGCAGGAACTAGAACCCAGATTGCCTGAGTCCCAGTCCCAGGCTCTTAACCATTACATCACACTGGCTCTCCATATTTATCCCACACACACACTTTGACTCAGCCTCCCGGCACAGACAAAATGAGGGGCCATGGCAAGGATTCCTGTCTCCATATATTAATCAAGTTAGGCCCTCTCAAGAAAAAAGGCAGGAGCAGAAGGGTAGGGCACAGGGCAGAAACAAAGCATTCTGCTGGCAATAATCTATGCAGGGAAAGAGGGGACGCTGTTGCTTCCACTGGGGAAGGCTGGGTTGGACTCTTTGACATGGATTTTGGGTGGAATATACTGAAGAATCTTGAACAACCAACGAAACCCAGATGACAGCAAGCTGATGCAGCAGTTTATTTCCCATCCTCTTCCTGCCTGCAGCTATTGATTCCCCCCAAAACCTCTCATGATGGTTGAAGAGACTTATAGAACACTGTGGGCTGTGTCTAATGGGATGATGCCAAAACCAGAAATGTTGCATAAGCGATTCAAGATTCTTCCATCCTACTTCAGGTGGTTTCCCCCCCTCATTGCTACCTACAATGTTCTGCAGATATCCTTTCCCTATGGAGAGGCTTTTGGGCTGCAGAGGAGTTGCTGCAGGGGAGAAAATAGGAAGGCATACCTTCTACTTGCACAGTGCTGGATATTATCCCATAATAATTACAGTCATTACTAAAAACAAGCAATGTATCTAAACAATATCTGGCTCCTAACAATTCATAACTCTAGAACAAACAGCAGCATAACAACAGCAGATTTCTAAGGTCACAGCTCATTTACCAAGCCTAGCAAAAACCATCTGCAGAACTCAGTGGCAATAATTAAGTTAAAATGCCAACTTAATTGGTGCAATATGTATGTTAAGGCACACCGCTAAAATGAAAAAGAGCAATTATGAATTTAAAAATAAGAACAAAAGAGCCAAGCATAGAGTGTCATAGTGATGGTAAAATAAATGCAAGGGCTTATTGATAGGGGAAATATTTCCAGATCAGTCATATGTTAATAAACAAATAATCTGCATCTAGCTTCTTAAAAAATCCACATGCAGGAAACAGCAAATGTCTTACTAGTGCCAATTAAAAAGTTCCTGTGGCTGTACACCTAACCTGCATGCAATAGGTGGCTCATAACCAGTGGGTTTAGGGGGGATGATGAGCACTGGGGCAGCACCAAGCACTTACCTCACTGACATTGATGGCATTCATTTTTGCCCTTTCAAATTCAGGAAGACCTAAGGTCACTGTGTAGTGATGCAAAGTGTTCTCCCCTGCTTCCTTGTAGAGGCGCTAGGATAGATTTTTTTTAAAAAATGTAGTTAACATTGTGTTCCTTCGATTTTCGATACATTTATGTTAGCATCCTGAATAAATATTTTTGCAGAAAATGTCCTAAAGAACTCGATGTTTCATACTGAAATAGTTTCTACCTAAAACTAGTTTCCCCAGCCTGGCCATGCTGGCTGGAATTTATAAAGGTTGCAGTCCAAAGCTGGGGAAGACTGATCTAAAAAGTCTTTGCATCAGATTTCCCATGGAGCAGTCCTAAGAGGAAGCAGAGTGAAGAGACAGTCAGTCCAGCACGTGCCAAGCCCTTCCAGCTCATGCCAGCCAGGGCAGAAGGTTGCTGGGCAGGGTTTACCCTGTAACTGACCTAGCAAATCTTTCCTATTTTGAATTCCCTTCACCCAGAAATAAAAGGAGATTCTGTTAGCTCTGGGGTGGTGTAGTTATTGGGACAACTCCTGGGACCTCTCAGGGGAACAAAGCAGCTTTGGATCCAGAGGTCCACTTCCTATCTGCCCCCAGAGAGTGTTCTTTAGAGATGGACAATTTTCCGCAAGCCAACTGATGTAGGGATTGTGTCCTCCCCTCCTCAATGCAGCCTCCAAAGATTGTTGACTTAGATTCTGATTCAAAATAGAGAAAAAGGGGCTGCAATTCAAGATGATTTGGCAAAGCCTGCAGACCCAGAGGTAAGCCTGGCAATAGCTGAAAGTCAGACAGTTTCAAGTTCAGGGGAAAAGTTTGGTGAGCTAGATTATATGGAATGGGGCAGGCCCAACATCGTTTGTCTGATATTGTTATTGCTTTACAGATATTTTATATAGTGCTAAAAGGACAGACCAACTGAGAGACATATGAATTTCCAGGTGACTGGCATATAAGCAACAAACTTTCACCTTGCAAGTGGGCTCAGGTTTTTGTTTTTGTTTTCATTTGGAAGGATTGGTATTCAGTTTGGAATTAGCTTTGCATCATTAAGCTGCATTTCTCTAAAGGCCAATATTCAAACCTTGCTTGTTTCCTTTGTTGGGGACTTCAACAGTACTCTCCTTTAGTATTACAAAACCCAGCTAGATAGTCAGCTTAGCAGAAGCTTTCAGTAAGCATTTATCTTGATCTGCTTGGAAGGATGGGGAATAGATCTGTCTGGGAGGTACAGGCAGAGTACCCAACTTGTCTCCTCCATGTACTTTGAGTCCCTCTCTCCTTGCCAGCAATTGTTCAGATTGCTGAAAAATTGCTATGAATATCCATAAATGCACAGTTCATAGTTTTAAATGCAAATACATGGTGCACAGAAAAAAGAATAATGCATGGTGACTGTCTAACCCAATTAAAGCAGGAATTGTTATTTATTTATGTATTTATTTATTTTCTTGTGCTGTATAGAAGGTCACTTCCAAAATAGGACTTGCAAGTTGTATAAGTACATTTATTAAAGTATTTATAGAATACTTATAAAGTACTATTTCAAACAACTGATGCCCAATGATTATGGTATATAAACTTGCTTAGTCAAACTGTGGCTTAGTCAAACTGTTAATGGACCAGAGATTGAAGCTAAAAAAAAATTATTTTGCTAAGGTATATAACAGTTTGTGTTAAATGCAAACATTTTCAACCCCAGATTCTGAACTAGCAATAATAAATACAACTCTGGTAATGGGGGATAATAAAGAAACTGATCTAGGGCCTTATTTGATAACATCTCTGGGAACATTCAATAAAGTTCTGCCATTTTTAAGGGGGTCCCCAAATTTGGACCATGACAACTCCCAGATGGGATTTTTTTTAAAAAAAAATGTGCTATGAATTTGCAAGGGTCATGTGTGTGTTCACAAAAAATCTGAAAGAAGATTGTTGGCCTCAGGTGTATTAAATGGGTTCCTGAACGAATTATTCAGCACCATACACATTAACCATCCCTATGACTGTCCTCCTAGCATGCTCCTTCTTTGCATCTCTTTGCATTATAGCTGCTTTCAAGTACAAAAAGAAATCTAGTTGTTCACATTCATATCAAATAGCTGCTCTGATTTTTGATTTTATTTTATTTGTTGCTGCTGCTTTGTTTTGAAAGAGCAATCTGATTGACAAAATGATACTAAATGTTTGTCCGGGAATAATAAAAAATGATCTAACTATGCTAAAGGATAAATCGATGATGCCTTTTTCTCCCTTTTTGATGTATTCTATTTCTCAGAGCATGCTTCTCTCTACCTCCCGAGCTCATTGCATTTTAAACAGCGTATTTTCTGATCCATGTTAGCAGAGCCTACCTCATTAGCAATCATATTGCTGAATTTTGCATGAAGGAGGCCAGGAGAGTCTGTCACCGATGTGTACTTGAAGGAATCTGGCTGCTGACGGTATTTACTCTGAATTCACACACAAAGAAAGATGGATGCAAGAGCTAAGCTGTATTGTAAGATAAGGACATTATATTTTGAGAGCTACTCATGGTTTCGGGAGCACTTTACAATGTCAGCAAAAAGTACTAGCCTCCTGACCTTCCTGCCAGTTTAATCCCTTGCCCTTACATTATTGCTAGATCCATGGCTACTTAATAAAATCAGCAAAGAGCACCATAAATGGAGTGACCAGTTTGTATAATCTCCTTTGAAGTGTGCACATATCATCAACAGTCTTGTTAAGATGGTAACATATTATCTGCAATGTTTGCTTGTTTATCTTTAGATTACTAGACCACCAAATGATCAAAACTGCCTTGGTGCTCCACAACAATGAAAACCATAGCATGCAATACAAAAAATGCAATACAAAAGTTTAAATGTTTAAAACTACAGTATAAAAATTATAGCCAATTAGAATTTAGCTGCTGTGCAAAGACTAAAATGCAGTATCAGATTTAAAACAGAAACTGTAAAATTAAAGTAAGCTGGCCCCAAGCCATTTAGGATTTTGGATGTTAATACCAGCAACTATTTCTCTATTTTACTTTGGTTTGGTTTTTATTTTTGAAATGTGTACTAAAAAGTTAAATCATCATCATCTCTTTCCAGCAGCCAGTGCAGAGCACAAAGTCTTGTTGTAATATGTTGCCCAGTCCCTGCTAACCTTCTCACTGGCCTATTTTGCACCAGCTTAAGTTTCCAGACTATTTTCAAAGGCAGCCACACATATACACATTACAGTAATCCAGTTGAGAGATGATTAGAGCATGAACAACTCTAGCTAGGCTACCTCTGCCCATGTAAGTACTGCAGCTTGAACTGATGGAAGATGGTCAGTGCCAGTGCTACTGAGTCCACCTGTTCCTTCTGGAATTGCAGCGCCCAGTGGCCAGTAGTGAAAGGAACAGTTTACTGTTCTTCTATCTATTGACCAGATGTCTAAGGGCTACAGAGTTCTATCATTATTTGTGGGATGTGTCTGCCTGCCTGCCTGCCTGCCTGCCTGCCTCTGTCTCTTTGTGTAAAACATCTTCTAAATTACCTCAAGGATCTTACAGTTGCAAATCAAGGAATAAATCTTATATAACAAACACATAGGATGAAGCTGATTCAGAGGTGGGTAATAATCACCCACAGTCACTTTTTTCATTCAGCTCCCTCCCTTGACATTTTAGATTTTAAATGCAAAAGAGGCTTTCTTTTCTGTGCCTTTCTATCCATTTTCAGGATATAGGAGATGGGCTATATTCTTTAGGATGCTAGTTCTGTACCAGATTGGATCATGAACATATCAACAAAAACATTCTTGATTGCTCCATAGTTACTGAATACCACATAGATACATTTACGAATTATGTAGCTGGCTTTTAGCTTAACCAAGTACATATATTTTTAGACCACTTTTGCATTTGATATGTTTTAAACAGAGCACTGTGGGAAATACATCTATCACAAAAAATATAATGAAACAAACCAAAAAGGGTTGTTTGCTATGATAACACAACATTGTCATCATATGTGGCAAACAGAAGTTTGTGTCATTGGCATGAACCATCACTCACAAATATTCCTCATCAAGAATACCAGCAGGCCTAGCATCATCTCTTGGTACCTCAGGGAAGTTGCTCACTCCCAGTGGACTAGCATGGGCCACTGGAATTGATACCTGCCCCAGGACTAGGCAACTATAAACCATCCTGTAAAATTCCTCACAATGCACCCAAGCAACACTGTTTATCACTGCTATCAAGAAAGCCCATGGTCAGGTGGGCACCAGTATTGGATGGGCCCCATGGAAGCCATGTTGCCGACAGTACATGCAAATCTTGAGCCAGTTCTTTAAAATAGTATTATTGAACTTGGATTTAGGTTTTCATGTTAGGTAAAATGGAAGTCTTGTTTATTTTGAAAAAGTGAAAATTGATTTTTCCCCTATACCTGAAAACATATAGTAAAATTCAGTTAAGTCAGAATTATTTCACTGATCCACGGCTTATAAGGCCAAAGTTTAGCAGACCTTCTGAACTACTTGCACAAACATCCTGTTCTATAATCAGGACCCAAATGGCTGATACATAGAAAAAAGTTGATACTTTAGAGTGATACTTTATTTTTAAAAAGTGAGAGAGAAATGAAACAGACATCTATGAACACTGGAGAGAGCAGACAATTGTTAGGCAGAGGAGTTCTGGCACAAACAGAAGGCCTTGTTAGGCAATTCTTTCTTCCTCACTGGATGTTTTGTGGTATGAAAAAGGTCAGAAAAAGAAGAGGTGGAAAACATGGGAGGTTATGATAAGATAAATCAGATGGAGCTTTGTAAAATTCTGTGGATAAGGCAGTGGGGATTGCACATTAAAAGTATCATCTGGCAGCATCCACACACAGGGTCAAACTGGATATGATTAGAAATGTATACTTATTCACAAGCTGAGATCATATATAAGGGAAGGTATGTTGCCAGAAAGGGGGGATAGAACTCCTCCCCAGACTTAGCTCTACTTCTCAAAGCATCCTCTCTCCACAAAAATGGCATATTTTCAATATCAGAGGCAGACTGGGAGTAAAGAGCCTGAAGCCCTGGAGCAAGGGAAGGTAAAGTGGGAAGGGTTCTGCTCCCCTCATCTGTATAAAAAGCTGACACCATGCTTTATATTGGAATTGGGCAGACATATGAATAAATCTTTGCATTGTTTCAGGACCCATCCTTTCGCTCTGGAGAAAAATGTGAGGAATTGTTAAAAAGCAAAAGAGCAGTGATAGGGAGAGGGAGCCGTTTTCTCTCTAGGCTGCTTATGCAGAGCCACCTGGGTTTTTGACAAATGCAATTCTATGTCTAATAACAGAACACAGGCTTCCTTTCATCTGGAAAGAAACATTTCCTTCTATAAAGTATCACCCTAACATACCAACCACTTGGGTCCTGATTACAGAACAGAAAGTTTGTGAAAATAGTTAGGAAGGTCTGCAAAACCTTGAACTCATTCAGTTCACCCATGACATGAATTGAGTGATCAAATAAAGAGGGAGGGTGGGGAATGGAGCCCACCCTTAATCCAGGGAGTTACTTTGCCAGCCCCTTTTTACACAGACATCTGGCAAACCCTTGTTTGTAGTGGAGAAATCAAAACCCTCTTTTGTTACCTCACTGATGAGTTCAGAAGCTTTCTTCTTTGCTTCAATCTCTAATGCCCCTGGTACAATGCAGCCAACTCCTCTCATAAAGTTCAAGTCAGACCTGTATAAATTCTATGGGAAAACAATCAAAAGTAATTTCCAACACAGAATGTGAGAGGCGGTATAGCAATCTGAATGCATTTGTTAGAAGTAACATCTGCTATATAATATTTGTGTATCTCTCAACCTTTCTGGAATTGTATTTGCATGTTTTGATTCATGCAAGCACAAACATATTCTTTCTCCCTCCAACCCGACCCCCCCGCCACCCATACATACCTATATCTCTCTACTTACAAAATGGCAAAAAGAAAAAAAAAAACTATTCTCACACACACACACACACACACACACATATGAGAATAGTTTTTTTCTTTTATATATAGTATAATATAAAGTATAATATATAAACTATTCTAAAATGCATATAAAGTATAAGAAGATGATGAATGTCTGATTTTGCTCTCAAAATGCCTTTAACTGGAAAGCCCATTTTAGGCAAATTCTTGCCCAAAAAGTTTATTTTTGAACAGTAAATAAATATAGATCACATAATATATAGCACACAAATCACACAAGTTACAACACACAAATCAAAGCAGCTGATTGTTTGGATTAAAGCCTTCAGTGTTTGACATAGGGCACAAAGTCACAAAGTCAACATGCTAAAGACTGTACAGAAAAAATATTTTACCTCACTCTGTAGATTATAAGCTTTCTTGGCACACTGCAGCCTAACATCTTCAGACAGAGAAGTGTAATCATGAAGCAGTTGTCTATATTCCTGATCGCTGACTAAAGACTGAGCTTTTCTTGCATGTACTAAATTCACCATGTCTAATGGAAGGTGGAACTGGCTCTTTTGATGGTCAAAACCTTTCTTGTAATTCACCTGTGATCGCAATAAAAGGAAGAAAACTGTTGTTTTGAGGTCATGGCTCACACAAAACACTCTCAGAAATTATTTTACATCCTCCTGAATTGATTTTGCATATACTTTTGATTCATGTTTAATTGTTTATTTTATTATTATCACTAACCATCTTTTTTAAATTGAGTCAATTAAAATTAAACATATAAAGAAAACAGCAAACAAAATGAAGGCAGCTTTGTCATGCAGAGCACACTTTAATTAGACCTCTGGATGATGGTGGTGGCATAGTTTCAATCCTTGTGTTAAACCTTAGTTATATAAGCCTTAAATATTTCAGAATTGTTCCTTAGTGATTATGACCCGGTAACATTGCCTTGCCACAACCATGGTTATGAAAAGAGAAATGCTAGCACAAGAGTGTGTACTCCGTTTTCTTTCCTATTTTCCCTCCTTCCACGTTTCTCTTGCATTCCTTCTTCTTTTCATTAGAATTGGTGCATTGCCATGCCTGCCCCAGTACTACAAAGTAACCATGATTAGCTCACATCCCCGTTTGCAAATCTGCTTCTCATCCTGGCTGAAACTTTTAATTAATTGTCTACTTTGACTAGCATCAACATCAGTGCAGATGTAATTCTACACTACGGTAGGCTCTAAAAATTACAGGGGTAAGAATTCAAAATTCAGAGAGAAGGCAACTCCTGTAACTACTGTTATGACTGGAATGTCGTCAACTTCTCCATCCTTAAAGATCAGCTGGTGCACCACATCTGCATGTGCTGTTGCCTTCTGAATCCTGAAATTCTTATCAATAATCTTGCTACATACATCCATGTGATATGCTTTGTTCATTCAGTGCTCTGTTCATCATCACAGAGCTGCTTCTTCCACTGAAGTGAATAAAGAGATTTAATATGAAGTAGAACGTCCATGCTCAAGAATCATAGAAAAGTAGAGCTGAAAGGGGCCAGGAAGGCCAACCTCCAACCTCTTGCAGGTCACCAATTTCCACCATCCTATTCAGATGATCGTCCAAGTTTCCAAACTTTATAAAGTATCCGAACTTTCTGTTCTGACTCAGGTGATAGCCACCAATTTGGATAGCTTTCAAGGGGGGTTAGACAAATTCATAGAAAATAAGTTTATCAGTGGCAACTAGTCATGATGGCTATGCGCCACCTCCAATGTGAGAGGCCAGATTCCACTTTATAGCTTTAGAGCACGAGAGGAACATTGTGCTTGTGGGCTGCCCAAAGACACCAGACAGGCCACTGTTAAGTGACAGGATACTAGATTAGATGACCTTTGTTCTCATCCAGCAGGTTTCTCCTTATGTGCTGCACAAAGGTGAATATGCAAAATCAGATTATACAATTGTTTTGAGTGTACTGGGCAACTTTGGATCATTCAAAGAATCTATCAAAGTTTCTTTCTCATAATGGACTTAGAAATCTGTCAGTACATAAGTTCTTTTCAGCAATGCAACAGTTCTAATTCATGAAGGAGAGACACCTTGGGCTTGCCCTGCCAACCTTGACGTCACCCCATCAATGAGGAAACTCTGAAGATGAGCTATAACGCTTTTCAACTGGAAGCGGTTGCAGTGATCTGCATGATCGAGAACTCCAATCAACATGAGTGGATCAGTGTATCCTTGTCATCCCTCCATGGATTGCAGCTGTTGACATCTGAAGAGGGCTCTGCTCATCTTTCATTGCTTGTGCTACTTACATCACTCTGTAGCAAAGCAGCATGCACTGAATGAGAAATGTTTATATCTTCCAAGCCACGGGAGCCAATCATCTGCCCTTTGGCTTTCTCAAACGCCTCTTTGTACTTGTACTGGGGAAGAAAATAAAATGAAGACATGATAAGGAAAGAAACATACAGACTTTAACCATATTACATTCTGGTGTTTCTCAGCAAGTGATTATTTTAAATAAAGACATGCTGACGCAACCAAATGGCCACTCTCCCACAGGACCAAACCAGCATTAAAATGGGTACACTGTGTTAGAAGCAGGTTGTGGGTTAAATTTTTGAGTTATACCTACTAAAATGTACTTTCTTTGACCAAGGAAGAATTTCAGAGAGATATGCATGGAGAACTCTAGGAGAGCCCACATTTTATGGTTTCAACCATATGTACGCTTCACTGAAAATATAATGTAATTTCCTATCATGTTATGATGGACTGGTAGACCCACTTCTTGCAGCTCATTACACTGGGTTGAACTAAGCTGCAATAATGTAAGGAAAGATGATCTGACATCTAAGCCTAACACTTGGCATACTGATTTAAAGGACTGGATAATTTTATGGGCATACCTACCGTTACATTAAAGAAAGCAAATAATTTTTAAATGATAAGAGGAATGCTATTCAAAGAACATGATTTGTACATCCTAGTAGAAATTATTCCAAAATAATTTGTAGAGTTTGAGCTCTTCATGCGTTTGCTTTCTGTCTACATTGTCCTTCTCAGCTCCAAGAAAATTGTGCCAAGAAGAATTCTTCTACAAAGATTTTAATTTTTATTCCAGATGCTGTTGCTATTATCTCAACTTACATCACTTATAATCTCATTGGAAGCCTTTGCACTCTGGAAAGGAATGGCATCCAGTTTCAGTTTATAACCACCATCTCGTATCTTGTTCCAAGATTCCTTGTAGCGGGTCTGTTTGAAAAGAGCACACAGGACCAGCATACATTTATTGACATCTGAAACTCTTCCCTACATCAAATGCCTTACCTAGAACATCAAATGCATAAAACCTAGAACTAAATCTGTATTCATTCCCTTGTTTCTAGATATGGATGGTGACACATTAAAGAAATCTCATAACACTTCAATGTCACAAGCCTCATCTGACTACTATTCCTTACTGAAAATGAGTAGTTCCAGGCTAAGTTATTTGACCTTAGGTTTCACTGTGACCAATGTGACAAATGACTTAACATAAGTCAGTGGGTTATAAATTCAAGTCAGGTAACCTAATGAAGATTAAAAAACCAGTGTATGTATCGGAAAAATTCAGGGTACAACCCACTGTGCAGTAAGCTGTTAGCCCGATTTGTGAGCAAGAAGATTGGGAAGGGTGAGGACCAATTACAGTTAGCAGTGGCACCAGTTTCTTTGTTTTGCTTATTTTATGGCCACCCATGGAATTAGCAGCAATAACACAACACCATTCATGATGACCTGGAGGTCACTTTCTTTTTCCTGGAATGCCACAGATGAAGCTGTGTGTGCATGGGTGGATCAGGATGGCAGTCATGGCCACCCATAAAAGAAAATGGCAGGTGCCAGTGAGGACACCATTTTTTGTGTCAATTACATTTTCAACCCGCATCTAGGGCTTTCTGAAATTTTAAAAAATAGCAAAAAGAAGTCTGATGCCACCAGCTATTACAGCACAAAATTAAAATAAATAAATGAAACAACACTGCCACTAATGGTAAACCCTGCCCTCCAACTGAGTTACGAATTTTGCAGCTACCCATGTTTGGGTCCCAAATGAAATTCATAGAAATGGTAATCCTGTTTAGTCCTAGTTCCCCAGCTCTTCTATGGTGCCCTATGAGCTACAGAAGCCAGCCAACAATACAACCTGAAAGGTGCAAGGTATGCAGAGTCACTGTCAAGATACAGGGAGATCCCAATTTTCAGTGGCCCCAATTTTCAAAAAGGGGAGTAGAGGGAACATGGAGAATTACAGACCAGTTAGCCTTACATTCATTGTAGGAAAAACAATGGAAAGGCTCATAATAGCGAGAGATCTGGTGACGCTAGATAGGGAAGGGAGACTGGTGGCCACACAACACAGCTTCCTCAAAAACAGGTCCTGCCAGACAAACCTTGTGGAATTCTATGACAAGGTTTCAAGGTGGCTAGACAGAGGGACGCAGTGGATGTGGTTTACCTGGATTTCAGCAAGGCCTTTCACAAAGTGCCCCATGATATCCTGGTTAAGAAATTGAGGAATTTTGAGAGAAACCAATGCCCTGTCCAATGGATTAGAGCATGGTTGACTGACCAAAAGCAAAGGGTAACCATTAGTGGGGAATCATGGGGATGGTGGCCAGTGACAAGCGGGGTCTCCCAGGGCTCTGTCCTGGGGCCAATCTTGTTCATTCTTTTCATCAATGACATGGAAGAAGGGGTGAACAATCTGCTGCTCAAATTCACAGACAATACTAAAACGGGGGCAGTGGCCACAACTGAAGAGCAGGTACTCCAGATCCAGAAGGATCTGGACAGACTATGGAAGTGGGCAGGAGACAACAGGATAGTGTTCAATATGGATAAGTGCAAAGTCTTGCACTTGGGGCATAGGAATTCATTTATTTATTTATTTATTTATTAAAACATTTTTATGCCGCCCCATTCGCCGAAGCCTCGGGGCGGCTTACAACAATAAATTAATATAAACATTAAAAATCCAAAAAATACAATATAAAATAAGCCGCCCTGGCCAGATAAAATCAGTTAATACTAACAGTTAAAATACCGCTTAAATAAAAAGTTTTTCGCCTGGCGCCGAAAAGCAAATAACGACGGCGCCAGGCGGACCTCTCTGGGGAGCGTGTTCCATAAGTTGGGCGCCACCGCAGAGAAAGCCCTCCTCCGAGTAGCCACCCTCCTAATTTCCTTCCCAGAGGGTTCCCGGAGAAGGGCCTCTCCCGCTGATCTCAAGGGGCGGCTGGGCATATATGGACGTAAGCGCTCCTTCAGGTAACTGGGCATATATGGACGTAAGCGCTCCAGGACACTCAGGAATGAGTGTCATAAGTACAGGTTAGGGGACAAGTGGCTGGAGAGCAGCGCTTGTGAAAGGCATCTTGGGGTACTGGTTGACTGCAAGCTAAACATGAGTCAGCAGTGTGATGTGGTGGTCAAGAGGACAAATGCCACCCTTGGTTGCATAGCTAGAAGCGTGGCTTCTAGATCGAGAGAGGTATTACTACCACTCTATACAACTCTGGTGCACCTGCAACTGGAGTACTGTGTTCAGTTCTGGGCCACTCATCACAGGAAGGATATGGCCAGGTTAGAGTCAGTGCAGCATAGGGCCACAAGGATGGTGGCCAGATTGTAGGGAAAACTGTATGAGGCGAGACTGAGGGAACTCGGTCTTTTCAGCCTGGAGAAGAGGAGACTCTGAGGGGATTTGTTGGCAACATATAGGTAAGTGAGGGGGTTTCACACGGAGGTGGGTAGAGACCTGTTCTCCCCTGCAGAGGAGGGGAGGACGCACTCTAATGGAACCAAGGTACTTGGTACTTCCTGACAGTTAGGACCCCAAGGGTATGGAATGGGCTTCCATGGGAGGTGGATGAGCCGCATCGGTGAGGGTGTTCAAAGATAGGCTAGACATGTACATGGTAGGCATGTCGTGAATGGAGCCGGCTGGAGCTGGGAGTCAGACTAGATGGCACGGGAGGCCCCTTATGACTCGCTCTGTTTCTATGATAAAATACCTTTAGAAAAGCAATAGCATCTATGTTGAATGTAAATAAGACACCAGGACAATATGTTATTAAAGGAAACGGTGGCTCTGTAAGGTGAATTAAATGTTGCTTGAATGAAAATCTTACCTCACTGATATTCAGAGCATTTTGTTTAGCTTGAAAGATCTCAGGAAGTTCTGCTGTTTGGGTGTAATGATGCTTTATGTTCTCTCCATGCTCCTTATACAGCCTCTACAAAATACAGAAAGCTGTATAAGACTATTCTACATATCCAACAATGATCCATGCAAAGCCGGGTTATCCATATATTATCAACCCATATGAATCTGATCGAGCACTTTGACGGCAGATTGTGAACACAGGTTATGAGGAGAGTGTACCAAAGCCAGTTCCACTGTGACACCCAGTATTGGAGCAGCCTTCCAGCAGAGATGTGGGTGGCACTTTAACTGACCACTTTTTGACAAGTTGTGAAGACGATTTTTCAACTCGTACCATCTCTGTCAATTCAATTCTTTGAAAAGCTTATTATACTATAACCATCTTAGTATTACTAGGATAATAAATATCTGTAATTGCTCAGCAAAGCATCCACCCAGTTCAACTCTGTATAGGTGGAGTAAAACGTCTTGATAAGGTCACACTGGAGTCTTCCTTTATAGGACACAGGCATTTATGGATTAAGAGTGCAATATCCTAGGAGTTTCAGTGATCTCCCACTGGTTTCTGAACATTATGATCTCTGGTGTCAGAGTAGTGCTCGTGTACTATTTGTTGATAGTGCAGAAAATGCAGTTAGTATTGATGTATTTGAGACAGTCATAACTGGGATAGCACAGTTGCACTAAACCTTTTAGAAGCAGGTTATTTCAGAAGCCAATTCAAGGTCCTGGTGTTGACCTATAAAGACCAGGCACCTAAAGAAACGATAACCTCCTGCATCAACCCCCATGTCAATCTGTTGCGTATTACTGTCAGCTACAGGTCTTCTCCTGCAGGCATCCTGGTATATATTTGTGTGGGGTTGGCTTACTTCATTTGCATATTGTCCAATAGTCTAATCTCTTTGGGCAGTTTGCAAAGGTTAAACACTTCAAAATATAACAAAACATAAAATCTGGGAAAGTTCAATACAGAATAAAATCAAAGTAAAAACAAACAGTCCAAGATGTTAAAGCTAAACGTAAACCCAAACTTAAAGTTATGATAGATAACAGAGATGACAGCACCTGTTAGGCAGCTGACATAATGCCCCAGTATAACATTGAAGCTAATTAAATGGCCTGTTATAGCAGACAGGCTTAGCCTGGTGCAGAAAAAATACTAGGTTTGGTGCCAGGCAGTTCTCAGTGGGGAGCTGGGGGGCGGGCAATCTTCACCTCCCTGCCCTCATGGCCTGCATTTTGCTAAACAGGCCCTTTGGCCCATCTCATGAAAGGAATCCAACACTCTAACCATCACGCAGGATCATAAATAAGGCACTGGTGGCACTAATATTGCACAATAAATCATTAGCAGCAGCACCCCTGTGCAGTTGTCCTCAAGCTTGTCCATGATCACATGGAGAGAATGCTTCACGATCTGGAAGCACCTGCATTCATCTCTATATGGACATGCAGTCATGTCTATCACTGCAGTCTCATGAGTGACCTTGAAGCTGAATGCAGGGATGACAGTTGTCATTGACATTGCTATTAATCGTGTAACCCAGACTGAGAGTAACAGTCATGACGATGACAATGATTTTACATTTCCAACCACCCAATGAAAAGAAGAAAGGTCTCCCAAATTATAATGCACTGATCTCATTACACATTGCAATTATTATAATATTTAGTATACAATCTGAATGTGTTAGGTTAGGGTTAGAAATACATCTGCATCTGTGGATGCGGGTTTCCCATTGGGATCAGTGGAGGATAGAAGGTTTCCATCCTAACTAAAAATAGCCTTTGTATGATTCACCTGATTAGAACGCAACCCTTTTCAGTTCCTAGGAATAATCTTAGTGACAGGGAATGAGAAAGAAAGCCAGTGCTTCAATCAGGTCGTTCAAAGAGGATACCACTCTTATAATCATAATGTATATACGTTATAACTTACATCCACAGCCTGGTTATAACTAATTCTAGCCTGGATCATCTCAGGAGTGTCTTTAATACTGGTAAACTTCAAAGCGTATGGATGCTGACGGTACTTCTTCTGTTGAGCAGAAAAAGATCAAAGCTATGAATTTTGTGCTGCTCTTTCATGATATTTGAAAGAAAAAAATTCATCGGTTGCTTGAGATTAGAGTGAATTTGTGAACATAATTATTATTCCTATTTCCTCAGCTTTATCTCCTAGGAAATTTCAGATTAATATTTGTTTCCATTTAACAATAATCTTTACCAGTGTAGTAGTAAAGAATGTCCACTTAAATTTAAGGATAATATTTAACATTATCTTATGCTTACTAAAACACTCATGATTCCATGAACTGAAAATCTTTTCCAACTCGTCTGAAGCAAAACAACAACAGCAAAACCCAGCCTTGTGTATTAAAAGGTTCTAAAGGTAAAATATAAACATTCAACTACAGTAGATATAATAGTAATACTCTCATATATTATCTGAAATTTTGTTTTCCTTTAGCTCCTGAACATGGCAGCTCTGTGACAATTGCTGAGTTACAGTCATGTAGCTATTTCAGCAAATAGCCTTGTGATTCACAGTGATTCAGCCATAAGCTTTTGCAGGTGCCATCCGCTTCATCAGATACACCTCCGACTGGCAGATTTCTATACATATGTTTTGGGGTAAGGGTGCTTTGACAAAGCTTTTTAAAAATTGCATTTGCATATGTTATCTTGGACATCATTACAATTATGTCTGTGCTGTCATCCTGCAATGTTTTGTGAATGGCAGCTCTTACCGCAATTATCATTGTCTGTGATATTTTCATTACACCTTTCCTACCCCAGCATGTGCATAAATCTGTCGGTCTTAGGGTAACACTTCACGTATTTGATGAAGTGGACAGTGTTCCTGAAAAATTATTCCAGAATAAATTTACTAGTTCAGATCCTGAATACTGCACAACCCTTTCTTGCTGCTGCTGCACCATACTATAACTACTCCTCTGGAAATGGTTACAATGTGTATTGCAGGTAGATGTTCTTGCACCTTCCTTCCAAGAGCTTGTTGTGTACCTGTTATTTTATGGAGATTAGATCTATATCATTTACCATGCCAATATTTTAAAAAACCAACAGTGCAACCCCAATACAGTGCAATACAATCTTGTTCTCATAAAGTTGGATTATTCATGTGGATTATTTAATCCTCAATGAGCTGTGGTGCGTGCCAGCATGGCAGTGTGGGCTATATGAGAGTTCAGCAATACCCACATGATCTTCAGTTTGTAGCTGAGCTATGCAAATATTGTTTAACCCTTGAATAACCCATGGTGGCTGGGTTCAGATGATACACTACAAGAGAGTTGGATTGAAGTAGCACTGTAGAATAACTGAAGTAGATACAGTAATTTAGTTTGACCCATGGTAGGATTTTGCTATAATTGGATTTTTACCCTGTCCCTTCCTTTCCTCTCTTTTACATGGTTAGGTACAGCGAGGTGGTAATGATCAGAAATCCACACTCCCTCCCCCTGAGATGGCTGTTGGTACAACTCCTCCCCTTCTTCCATGCTCCCATTTTACAGCACCTGCAGCAGTACTTGGTGCCATGAAAATAAAAAACAATAAAATTAAATAAGATAAGATAAAACTTTGGAAGGTATGCAAGAACATCAAAAACAATGCAAAACGTACAGGTTCAAATGGCTCATAAGTTTCATTACTAATAATGGATAAGACATGAATGGGACAATCCTATGATAGTTCATAGACAGACAAAACCGAGGGTGGCAAAACCGACTCTCGGGAGCTGCATGAGGCTCTTTGAGTTTATTTTGCAGCCCTCCACATGCTTCTGCAGGTGCCCATGGGCATCTACTTGACACTGGCTGCCCCCCACCACGCGACAAAGTAGGGTATGTGCATATGTTGGTCCACGGAGAACCCAATGGGGCTTTCATCTGAAGACTGAACTGAAAGCAAGGATGGAGCTGAAAGCAAGTGAGTCTTTCCAAGGAAGATACCTAAAATGGAAGGATGAGAAACGACAGGGTGCAGATGGAACTAAGTAAGCGTGGTCATGTAATGCTTCCAGTGCATCAGCAGGGGCGATAGCATAACTACTTATTTCAAGGCATTGCAGAAAAAAGCAGCATGGCACGAGCACACTGCTGGATGGGCTCATTTCCATTTCAGGATTGCAAAAAATGCTGCATTTTTGCTACTGAGGGATAAAACCAGGAAAGTGACTGAAAAGCAGAGGAGCGAGCCAGGACCACGGCAATTTCATCCAAACCAGTGTGAATAAGTCGTGGCGAACACACAGTAGAAGACTCATCTAAAAATGCTTATAGTCTCTGGTCACTGAAAATGAGGCACTGAAATGTAGGACGAAACCTGTGACACAGTGAGAAGTGTGTGCCCACCATGGACAACAATAACCCTCCTCGTACCATCTTTACTCTCTGTTGTTTTCAGCCCGAGTGTATAGAAACACCCCTGAAGTAGAACAGATGAATGTAATTGTTGGGGATGGGAATGTCAGAGTATAAGATACTTCCACTGCAGGTCAAGCACTTTAATAATGCTCACGGTGCTCTGTTGTAGCTCCTGGCTGAAGAGAGCACAAGTGTGAGAGAAAGAGAGCTTGTATAAGACTAAAAGAAGGTTCCTAGTGCCATAAATATACTTTTTATGGCTTTCACTTGATTCACTACATTAAAGGAAAAAAACCCGCTAGTGGGGTAGCAATTGAGCATTGTTTGATTGTCATTATTATTCATGATATCATTTGTCACCTACTTTGTTTTTGCAAAGGCTATATGGACTCCCACTGTTTTGTGTTTGGTATCTGGCTTCCCTCTAATTATGAGTCCTATTCCTGGTTTGGAGAGCTTTCATGTGGGATGCCTTTTTCTTTCCCCCTTTGAGTGAAAATTATTTTAATTTTATACAGCCATTTTACACGCATTATGCAGCAAGTTTTGTTACGTGCTGTCATGAAATCTCACCTCACTAATGAGTTCTCCTGCTTTCTTAGCCTGCTTCACATTTAATGACCCAGTGGCGATCCATCCAGCTCCTTTCATCCAGTTCAAATCAGCTCTGTATCGGTTCTGACAAAAGGAGAAGAAAATGCACCATTGTTGCTGCTCGCACATTAAAAATGCCACCTAAAGAATTCACACATCAGAACACCAGCTGAGTCAAATTAGTGCCTGCTTTTGTTTTATCGACTTCCTTGCAGTTGTGAGCAGAAATGAGAAGGGTGGGGGAAGAGATTAAGAAAAGAGATGATGATATTGCTAACAGCAAAAAATCTGCTATAAAATGTAAAAGAAAATACATTTAAAGAGCTTTTTAAATTCTCTGCTATGGCTTGCTAAATGGTTTCTATTTAAACCAACACAAAGATATCAAGTATTAGAAACAGAGCATGAGTTTTCTCAGTACAGACTCTGCCCCATTCTATTACTTGAAATTAAGAGTCAGTCTTAGGAGTAACGTAGGCTTACTCCCAGGTAAATGGGAATAGAACTGTAGTGCTGGGATGCATTGGAACATTAGAAACAGCCAGTAGCTTTGAATGTGTGGCCAAATCCCTAGGGGAGTGGGTGTTTTTTGCTTTGCATTTCTAAGGTATTGTGCTTGCTTATAACTTACCCTCTATGCATCTATACTTTTCTTTAATCACCCATGCCCAGGTCCATGAGGGGAAGATCAGGAGTCCCTAAGACAAGCAGAGATGACCCACTGGTCCTGCATTGCCTTAGGAAACACCCGAGCTTTTTCTGTGTTCCAGTCCAACACATCTGGAGCATGCCAGGTTCAGGAAGGATGGCTTAAATAACCCTGCAAGTTGCCAATATGAGTAGCAGATAGGCAAGGGTCATTGGACAGGAGGGTTCCTCCATCAATGCAATAAATCTCAGATACTTCAAAAGGTCAACATGATGCACCTTTGTTGATCCCAGGCACTCCACAGAGAGAAAATATAAAAAGCAACCTTCATTCTGATTCTAGAGCACAAATTTGACTTTTAGAAAGTCCACATTGGTGGAAATTCCTTTGACATTGCCAGAGGGGGAAGAATTCTGTATAAGTTTAAACAATGTAAAACTGCTTACATCACTCTGCAAGCCGTAAGCCCACTTGGCCCATTCTGTCTTCATGTCCGTAGGCAAAGCAGTGTAACGGTGCATGATGGTTTTGTATCCCCTGTCAGTGGCCAAATCCTGAGCTTTCTTGGCATGGACAAGATTGATCATATCCAGAGATACATGATATTGATTCTTTATGTCCTCAGATGCCCTTTTATACTCCAGATCACTCTGCAACTTTGAAACATGGAGCAAGTGAGCCATTTGTGAGTCTTCGCTCACACCTTTCACTCCAATCAACTTTCCTCTTGTCTTCTCATAATTCTCCTTGTATTTTATCTGTAAAGGAAATAAAAACCAGAATGGATCATAGGTGGGAAGAAAAGTAGCTAGGCCAAAGTCAGTACTAACAATAGCACCGGGTTAAGGCAAACAATCTGTTTCAATACGCAATCTGAGAGTTTCCTTCCCCACCAAAATTATTTTTTGGCATCTTTTCCCTGGTAAAACTACTGACCATGGACAAAATACCTAATATATACTTCTCTGGGGGAAGGACACTTTCAAATTGTGTATTGAAATAAAATGCTCCCCAACCCTATATTGTGTTCAGTGGGATTTACTTCTAAGCATACAATCAAAGGTTTGCACTTTTAGTGACTGTTGCTATTTCCTTCCATCACCTTGACTGAACCAGTAACAGTGGTACAACAAAAAACTAGATTGGGACTATGGCAATCTAGCAGAAGAGGACAGAAGCTTCCTTCTATCTGATTTGATCCCCACATCCTTATTTTTTTAACTCTCCCTCCATGGGGGATAGAAATATGGGATGAAAACAGATGAGCAGAAATTTAAGTTGGTCTCCTCTGAAACACCACATTTCCAGTCCAAGTTGGGATCATGTGTAGCTCCAGAAGGGTAGCATCTATGATCTCACATACTTTCACCGTGAGTGATTAGAGTGCTTAGTTTATCCCTCTTTCTTTTCCTCTGTATTATTTTGGTGGAAATAATGGAGCAAGAAAGGAAAACATGAAATGTTGTGATTATGGCTCAGGGTAATTTGTGGTAATCATTTTCCCCATCACAGTCCTGAGCAGAATACTACCTACCCAATTACTGCACACCTGCCATTCACAACTAGAGGAAAGGTCTGATTGGCAGAAATGGAACCTTGCCCTGCTATTGCAAATAGAAGGTGCAGGGAGATTTCATTTAGGACCATGGCGGGAACAAAGTATTAAAGCTCCTCCTCCCACCCACAGCCTCAGTTAAGTTTCCCACCAACTGCTGTTGGCAATTTAGATTAAAAGATATCATGCATAATGGATGAAACCATATGGATAACATCATGTGTAGTTTGGCCCTAATAAACTTGGAAATTTTATTTACTTATTTTCAGGGTTTCTATGCTGTACCACATCCAAACAGATTCTGGAGCAGTAAATAGTATAAGATAAAAACAAAAGAATAAAAGCAAGATGTTGAACTATATATAGAAATGAAAGGACATTAAGACTCTGGCTGGTTAACAATAAACGTCTTCCTGTAATAATGTGTCTTTAGCAGGCACCAAAACCAGACCGGTGTTGGTACCTGCCTGACCACCCAAGGCAGTGAGTTACATAAAAATGTGGCCACCACTCTAACGGTTTTTCTTTTAGGAGTACATTCTAATCTGGAAGCACCTGAAAAATGTCCTCTGATGATTTCTTTGACTGGGCAGATCAGTAGAGGAAGTATCCTAGTCCCAAGCTGATCAGAGTATTTTTACCAATAGCAAATCATTAGCCATTGCAGTTCCTTCTGCACAGGAGTTGCACGCTGAAAAGAGTAACTCCCAACAAGAGCTGAGTAGGTGCATTTTGCACTGACCCCAGCTTCTGGAGCAGCCTGGAGGACAGACCCACACAGAGTACATTGCAGTAACCAATCTTGAGGTTACCAGCCCCAGTATCACTGTGGTCAAATTATCCCTGTCCAGAGGTCGTAGCTGGCAAGCCAGTAGGAGGTGTAAAAGGCACTCTGTGCTACTGCAGTCAGTTGTGTGTCCAGCACAGCAACAAAATGCCTCCAGACTGCAGTTCTCACCTTTCAGGGGGAGTACAACCCCATCCAGAACAAGTAATAACCCTGTCTCCTCACCCTAGGAACCATTCAGCCACAGGGCTTCAACTTCAACAGTTTATTGCCCATCACTGATCAAAGACTTGCACAGACTCTCCTTACTCTGTTGTCCCAAGAAGATAGAACAATGCATCATCAGCATAATGAGGGCTCTTGGATCCAAATCTCCTAATGTCTGCTCTCAGCTGCTTCATATAGATGTGAAATAACACTGGGGACAGAGGTGTATCCTGCTGAACCCCATAGTCAATTGCCAACAGTTCGAGGAACAATCACCCAATGTTATTCTCTGGAATCAATCTTGCAGGTAAGACTGGAAGCACTGTGACACAATGCCTCCAGGACATGGCCCACGGACTTCAGTGCAGGAGCATGCTGTGCTCAAGATTATCAAAAGCTAATGAGAGATCCTGTAGAATTAACAGGGTTTCTTTTCTCCATCCCTCTCCCAATAAAGGTCATCCATTATAGCGACAAGAATAATTCAGTCCTATAACCAGGCAAAACCAGAAATGGGTCTAAATAATCAGTATCCTCCAGCTGCTCTGTCATAATCATCTCAACCATCTTCTCTAAAAAAGAAGTGCTTGCTACTGGGCAGCAATTATCAAACACCATTGGGTCCAGAATAGTTTTTTTTTACTGGAATGGTCATACTACTGTCTCCTCGAAAGCAGGAGAACCCACCCCTTCTTGCAGCAATGCGTTTACCTGTCCCTGATCCCAGCCAGTTAAAGCAGCTCAGCTAGCTTGCATCAGGCCATAAGGGCCAGGACCGAGAGAGCACATGGCCACACCGCTTGCTCTCTGTTAATGTCATCAGGCTGTAAATAACTGAAAATGATCCCACAAAAATCGAGCAGATGGTGACATCAGACACTGCAACAGGAGATGCACTAACAACAGTGTCAGGTTTGTTGTGGAGACCAGTATGATGCAGAAACGTCATGGTGGGTCTTCAGGGAAGCCTGGGCCCTTTCACTGGGGAGTGTTAAGTGCCCTCAGAGCAGGCAGAAGAGCTCCACTCGGATGGTGACTTAAGTCTGCAATGGAGCCCACAGAGCAACACCTCTTTGCTGCCCATGCCACCATGCAATAGCCATAAGTACGTGCTCTAGAAAGGGTTCAGTCATCTTTACTTCAGGTCTTACACCGTCTCCGCTCTAGCTGATATCTAGCACGTTTCATCAACCGCAGCTCCTCGGGATACCAAGAAACAGAGCGGCCTCTACAGATAAAGCTGTAGAGCTCATAAGGGCACATAATAGCTCCCTAGGCTAAAGCAGCCATATGTTCTCGTTTAATCAGTACTCACATCACTTGCCAAGTCCCTCTTTGCTTTGGCTGTCAGGAACGGTATTGCATCAAGATGCAGTTCAAATCCTTTCTCCTTCTGCTTCTCCCAGCTACTCTTGTAGATTTTCTTAAAAGATGTCAGAGTCATAATTACCTTTTTGTTACTGCTTTGTGACATAGGTGCAACATTAGCATCTGAAAGATCCTAATAGAATCAGCTGCCTATTGTTTCAGGAGCTATTTCAACATATTGCAAAAACCAGTCCTAATTCCACCTGCTTGTTCGCACTTGTTTAGATTTAGGAGCTATTTATTCAGGATGCAATATTATCTTGTAATTATAAAGTCATTATTCGGGCATCATTAGAACTCATGAACCCTCCAGCAGCCTTCCCCAACACAGTTCTCTTTATATACTAGAGTACAACTCCCATTATCCCTGATCTTTACTAATGCTGACCAGGCTGGTGGATAATCTAACCCCAAAATATCTGACAGGTTTGGGAAAGGTACTCAACAGGATGAACTCAAAGTGAATTACTCGTTCAATTTACTGAACAGCACTGAAGAATAGAAATATTAATTCAAGGACCTACAACACAGACTTAAACTAGTCCAAAAGTCATTCCCGCTGCCTAAGAAATTATAGTTATCTCTAAGGGACTAGGTTTCTCTGCAACTTTACTAAATTCTTATTGCCAAAATTCTTTGTGAAAAGTCCAGATAGTTAAAACTATGACAAAAGAAAACTTTTGTGAAAGCATCAACAATTATCAGGATTTCAACAGTATGAAAACATGGCATTCACATCCATCCCTACCTCACTAATATTTGCAGCATTTATTCTGGCCTGTATGAAAAGTGGCTCATCCTTGCTGATGGTGTAATTGTGAAGAAAATTCTCTTTTCCTGATCTGTACGCAACCTGTTCATAAAGGGAAACCAAATAGTATCAATTCGAAGCATAGACACTCAAGATTGTCAAAAGATTTACTGACTGATTTTAAATGTGACTTGTTTCTATAGATTAGTGTTACCTGAAGACAAAGCATTGGTCTAACCAGATATGAACACAAGTGTCCCTTAGTACTAGTTATTTATCTATCAACTATTTAATTGATTGTACCTTGCTTTTCTACAAGGAAAAATGGTGCTCAAGGCAGCAGTCTTGTTTAAGAACTAAAAAAATGGTACAGGTACCATGTAAGATGGACAATTTAATTTTAATAATAGACAAAAAAGTGTCAGTGAGGAAAGAGCAACTGCAGATGTTCTAAGAGACCTAATTTAGTCTTTTCCTCTCTAGTTAGGAACATGGCCTTCATCATCATAGCATCAGAAATCTGGCAAGCATGCATCTTGATACCCTTTGGAGTTAAAGGTTTTCTACCTGTGGAAGTACAGAGTTCAAAAAAAAATCTTAGAAGTGCGCCTCAAACCTATGTAAAACAACAACAGATGTTCGTGGCTGGATCCTATTGCTTTTCAGTAGTGGTGCCTGTCCCCCAAAATTGCCTATTTTAATGATAAAGAGTCTGTCTGGAGAGAAGGTAAAATAAGGACTCACATCACTCTGCAGTTCCTGGCTTTTCTTCGCATGTTTGATATGGGAACTGTCTGCCACACTTGTGAACTTTAGAGCATCAGCCTTCTGTCTGTACTTTTTCTAATTAAAACAGATTAATTAATTTGTTTATTTTGTAAAGCAAGATGATACAGATCTCTTTGCCACAGTTCTTCAAAGGCCGAAAAGAGATGAGTTGTGTCCCACTTGCTATTAGCATAGGCTGCTGTAATGCAAGCTTTTCATGTGACCCTCAGCTAAGAAAGAAAGGCAAGATCACATTAATAAAATGGGTGCTGTGTATGTGTCATGCAGCCTTCCACAACCTGGTGTTCTCCAGATGTATTGGACTGCAAGACTTATCATTCCCAGCAAGAATGGAGGACTGGTGGAGGGCACAAAGTTGGGTGGAAAATGAGTTCAACAAGCCTGGTATAACAGGATTACCATTTTATTTTCTTTCTTTTTTTGCCCATCACCAAATAATGCAGATTAACTAACCAATGAAAATTCCTGAATGAATACCTTTACTTATCTCATTTAGATATGAGACATATTCTTCATGCTGTCTCCCCTTATACATATTCTGAAATATATATAGGCAAAATAAAGCCAGCGGATACCCATGTTCCTGTATTTCTAAGGATTTCCAGGTGTGAATCAGAGTGGTACAAATAGCAAAGGATACCTGAACTTAGGCAGATACTTGTCTAAGTATCCCCACATTACAAAGTGACTCATATGCTATACTTCTGGTACATGTTTTATACAATGTCTTCAAAACATAAGAAAAACAGTCCAGAGAAGTTAAATATTTGGATTGCTTTATCATATCTGTGTGAAACATAGCTTAATAGCATAAACTGTTTCTAAGTGAATCTTCCTCTTGGTTTGTTGCTGTCAAAAGCACCATATGTTTCTGTGTGTATGTATGCACATATTGTTTTCATAGCAGCATCCATTAGAAATAGGAGGCAAACTCAATACTTAATATTGAAGTTAATCAATACTTCCATGCCATCAACTCCACAATTGAATACCTCAATCAAGGATATGTACTTCCATGTATGCCTCCACGTGGTACTCCTTTGGAGAAATACTCTATTTCTGATAGGTGAATATATTCACTTTCACCCCATTACTTTGCCAGCTAAAAAAAAGATCAGATTCATTTCTGCTTTATTAAGGTACACAACACTTCAAAGAGATGCCTATTATTTTGCATTCAAGATCGGAGAAGAGTGAGGCATATTAGGAACACTTTAAAAAATGATGTGTACCCCAGTAGGAAATTATGCAAAAAATAACAAATGCCAGCTCCTAGGTGGGTATAAAAGTGTCCAAGAAATGTGCTAGCTTCAACTGATCTACATTTTACATGGTTCAGAAATGAAGACGTGTATCAGCCAATCATAACTGGATGCAATATCTCTGCGAGTGAGTATTTCTGTGGCAAACCCCAGCAGTAGGTGTCACTTTGCTTCTCTGCAAGATACCAGATCTGAGCACTGCTGTTTCTTTCGGTCTGTGCTTCATAGTGCCACTGTAGCCAGATGTCAGAGATCTACAGCATCAGAGAATAATCACTAGTAATGCTAAATACTCTAGCGATTCTTCCTTCCTTAGGCACTGGAGGTTTCTATGAAATATCACTCCTCCCCACACTCAATAATTTCCAGCTTTCTTGGATGTGTTAGCATCCTCCACACTGAATACAACCCAACATGAATGGCAGTTTTCCAGGGCTTCGGTAAATTCAAATATAGTACAGTACCATATTCTCACATTTTCTTTACTTTAAAGATCCATATTAAACTGCAATATCAAAACACTGACCTCACTAACAAGTTCCCCTGCTTTCTTGGCTTGTTCAACATTGAGACTTCCATCTGCTATCCAGCCAACTCCTCTCATCCAGTTAAGGTCTGTCCTGTACTGAAGCTGGAAAAAAGGAAAGCTCATTATTTAATAGATTATGATGAGAGAAAGATGATAGATGGAGAGAGAGAGATCACTAAAACAGGTGAATTTGCTAACTTTGGGTAGCAAATGCAGAAATTGCACTCTGGTGCTATCCACAATTCTCTTCTACAAATATTAATGAAAAAATAGACACCTGTTTGAAAAACAGATTTTTTTTCCCGTGTCTTTTCACTGGAGGTTAATATGATCCTTAAATGAAATATTTAAACTTAAGCAAACTCCTAGTTGCCATGTGCCATGGATTCGATGCAGTATAAAATTTGCCTTCAATCAGCATTCCATAGCAAAAGAGGAAAATACCTACCTCACTTTGTAGGCCATAGGCTTTTTTGGCCCACTGAGTCTTCAGGTCTTCTGGAACTACCGTATACTCATGAATTTTCTTCCTATAGTCAAGGTCACTAGCCAGGGCTTGGGCTTTCTTGGCATGTTTCAAATGTATCATATCCATTGGCAAGTGAAAATGTGCTTTATTCTTCTCAGAGTCCTTTTTATATACAATCTAGATAACATCAAAATATTGCGTTCACCATGATATGAAAGAGTCAGAAGGAAAACACCAGTAAAATATAAAATGTCTTTATTTCAGGGTCATGTAACCCTTCTGGGCAATTTGGGAAAATGCCCTAAGCACCAGCACAAAATGGCTGCTGTGGAAAGCGTAGCAAGGATAAAACAGGCCCTGAAAGATGTACTACAAGGCAGAGGTGGGGTCTGGCCCTGCAAAACACTAAGTTACTCCTTTGAATTCACATTTTTCAGCCCAAACAGAACCTATCTCATAGCAGTCCCATCTATTGGCAACAGAATGTTATTTTTGTTTAAGTATATCAGGACCTTGGCAGGCACGAAGAAAAGTGTCCAAGGGCACCACGTTCCCTACTCCATGGGTTGTATCCAATGGTAACTCAACTTAAAGTAGACCCATTGCAATGAAAGAGATTTAAGTTCCTAATAACTAAGAAGTTCCATACATTTCAAGGGGTCATCTCCCAGTAGAATTAATATTAGATGTAACTTTATATCTACAACTGGTAGGTTTTTCCATTGTCCATGCTTCTTTCACATGCAACACCTTTGCACAGCTTCGGGTCTGACTGCTTAATAGTGCAGATCTAGACAAGTCTATTCAAAGAGCAGTCCCATTGATGTCAATGATGTTCACTTCCAGTGGCCCAAAGTCATCCAGTGAGCTTCATGGGCTCTTCATGGGGACTAGAAAGTGGATCTCCAGTTCAGCAACCTAACTACTTTACCACACTGGCTTTTAGCAAGTTTAGCAAATGTTTCTTTCAGGTATCCATAGTGACTTGTAATTTTGGGGTTCACATAGCATAAATTCACTGTTTATTGCATGTTTTGCTTAGCACCTCCAAGTTTTTTGCTTTGGTCTCTGAAAAAAAGTGTATGGAAGACCCTTCATATTAAATAAACAGCTAATCCTGTGGCTATTTACTGAGAAGTACAATGGAATGTACAATGCATTCATAGAATTGGAGCCTTAAATAATTTGTTTTCAACAAAGTTTTCAGCACTTTTTTTTTCTTTGAAACCAAAGCTTCCTCATATGAGGAGACTGAGAGTGCACTTTGAACTCTTCTTCCTCTTCTACTTCCCTTCATGCTGTGAATTGGCCATCCATCCATTCCCTTTGGTAAAACAAAGTATGGTATTACATCTTCAGTGGAACCAATCATGATTAGTTTTTCACTAGGATTAGTTTTTGCACCATTTTTGGTGTACTTAATGTACACCATATCAGGAAAAGAAAGGGCAAAATATTCTACCTTGAGAGGTCTTTTGCCCTGAAGGGTGGCCTTGCTCAGTGACAGACCTCTTAGCCTAACTCTTCTTAGTGCAGGATGCAAGGCTGAGGACTGAGAGGTGGCAGATCCAGCAATTCCATGGCTTTCACCCTTTTTACTGCAAAATAGTCATTTTCTCCCTTCCTGAAGTGGAGTTCCAACCTCAGGCAAGGGATCCACTGCTGGATTTTATCCAGTAGATAGGAAAAGCTTGCAGGGACAAAGTGGCAGTCACATCTTCTTTTCATGGCTACAGCTCTGTCTCTGGCCCTGGAAAATTAGATCTACTCCATCCTGAGGCCTTTCAGGTGGTCTTAAAATTAGTTTTAAGCTTCTGATGATTTTGGAACAGAGCTGAAAGTTTTCAAAGCATTTGGGGGCCACTAACTTGTGCATAGATAGACAGGAAAAAGTTGTACAACTCCCATTATCCCTCCATACTGACTGGGCAAGTTAGGAATTGTGGAAGCGTTTTGCTATTTTAGCAGTTTTCGTGCATAGATGAATGCTGATAGCTAGATTGTTTCCTTGTCTTTAAAAATGCTCTTTGTGCTAGAATTTCTCTTGTTTAAATCCATATTGAGGAAATCTTGCTTAAATCTTTCTCCCAGGTTGTCTGTTCAAGAGCCCAGATTCTAAACAAAGGCAAAAGGTTTAAAATAACTACTAAACTACACACATGGTCTTGGAACTACTGAAGGCTAAAGGGAGAGAATAATAGGATTCTATTTTTAATCTACATTGTTTAGACTTCGCTAAACCTATTTTGGCAAGTCTTCATCAAGTAACAGTGTATCTGTACTGAATATCCCCAAAAATAAATTAATGGACATATTCATTCCCACTGAAATAATTTTAAATTAGAGCTTAGATCATGGTGTTTAATATAGGCCACTTAAAAATGTGGCCTATATTTGGAATATTGGTAGCTTTTTAAGGTTTTTATATCTATTTCTGTACTATTTATCGATATTTACATATTGTCATGTGTGTTCTTATATATTGTTGTAGGATTTTACCATTTTGTTTTAATTTTGTTTATTGTGACAAATACATTATAGATACATCTTTAATATTTACACTCTAAATTTTGTCTATAGTTGTACATTAATTTTAATATAAAATATTAAACATTTGTCCTGTTATCATATTTTGTGACAAATTAATTCAGAATGATATGTGAGACTCAGAACCCCAGGGCAACGTACTGTTGATTCTCTAAGTAATATATCACAGGTTAAAAAGTAAATAAATAGGTATAACTTACATCACTGGCAAGATTTCTTGAAGCCTTGGCAGCAAGCAAAGACATAGAATCCAACGTCATTTCAAAGCCATGGCCTTTGCTTTTCTCCCATCCTTCTTTGTATTTAATCTAGGGACAAAATAGAGCGATACGACATTGCTGATGTAAATAAAGATAGACAAGACGAATGTAATTTTCTCAGCAAACTATAAAGTCGACAAGTGTAACGTGTGATGTATAATTCTAATAAAAACTTTTATACTTGGGTTTGTTATCCTATTTCAGCCACAGATCAAAAGAATTATAGAATATGAAGTGACTTCCAAGGCATCTACCACAACATAGCTCTGTATTTAAAGACAGAACTATCCCCACCTCAGAGTCCTATCTAGCACATAAAATGTAGGGAACAAAGCAGGTGCTTAAGTCAGGGAAAACCGAGGGAAAGGAAGGCATCATACTCATACTAGAAAATAGCAATTTATTCGGTGAAGGTTGCATTTTGTCCAGTGATTCCTCTCAGAGCTAAAGCAGTTGTATATGTCTCATCCTGATTCACAGTTTCCAGTCTAAAAAGAAATTTTAACATCTTCTAAACCAGACTTGAAAAATTGAATTTGCAATCTGAGAAGTCAGCTCAGCTGTCAGACAGTCATTATCCCAAATCATGGAGAGCTCAGTTAATTTCTCATGTTCCCAGGATGGAGCACTGAAGCTATATGAGGAATTATAGAGTAGTAGAATTGGAAGTGACCAAAAGGCCATCAGGTTCAACTCTGTTCAGTGCAGGCCTCCAAGTTAAACCAGCTTTCTCAGATGGCTGTCTAGTTGCATCTTGAATACCTCTAGTCTGCCCAGTTCTTTCAATCTCTTCTCATAGGACTTTGTTTCCAGTTCCTGGACTATCCTTGTTGCTTTTCTCTGAACCTTTTCCAGCTTATCTACATCCTTCTTCAGCTGTGGTGCCCAGAATTTGAACACAGTACTACAGATGAGGCTTAACCAGTGCTGAGTAAAGGGAAATGAGTACTTCAAGTGATTTGGAAGCAACACTTCTGTGAATGCAGCCTAAAATGCACTTGCCATTTTACAACCACATCATATTGTTGACTCATATTCAACTTGTGATCTACAACAATCCCAAGATCTTTCTTACTTGCAGTATTGTTGAGCCAAGTGTTCCCCATCTTGTGATGATGCATTTGGTTGCTTTTTCCTAGCTGCAGAGCATTTGTACCTAGAATTTCATTCTGTTGTTTTCAGCCCAGCATTCCAATCTATCAAGATCACCTTGAATCTTCTTTCTGTCTTCCAGGGTACTAGCTATCCCACCTGCCTTTATGTCATCTGCAGATCTGAGAATCGTTCTCTGCACTTACTCATTCAAATCATTAATAAAAATATTGAAGAGCACTGGACCCAGGACTGAACCCCGTGGTACCTCACTTGTTACCCCTCTCCAGTTTGAGAAAGTGCCATTGATGAACACTCTTTGATGAGTCCAGTTGATGAGTCCAGTTCTGTAGTCAACTGTGAACCTACCTGATAGCTGTTCCATCTAGCCCACTTTTAGCTAGTTTGCTAATCAGGATATCATATGGCACTTTGTCCAAATCTTTGTTCAAGTCAAGATAAACAAGTCCCAGCATTCCCATCAGGGAGGTTACTCAATCAAAAAATGAAATCAGTCTGACAGCATTTGTTGTTGAGAAATCCATGTTGGCTTCTAGTAACCACTGCATCGTTTTCAAGGTGTTTGTAGACTGACTGCTTTATAATTTGCTCCAGAATTTTCCCAGGGATTGATATCAGACTGACTGGTCTGTATTTTCCAGGTTCTTCTTTGTTTCCTTTTTTGAAGATATGGACAACATTAGCCCTTCTCCAGTCCTCTGGCACTTTCCCTGTTCTCTATGATTTCTCAAAGATAACAGGTAGTAGTTCTGAGAATTCTTCTGCCAGTTCCATTATGGATGGACTCTAGGATGGAGTTCATCGGTCCCTGGAGATCTGAACTTATTCAACAAAATTAGATAATCCTTGACCATTCGCCTCTATAGCCTGAGCTTCCATGTTGCTCCTTCAGCTTGTACTTCCCCTTCATCAGGTAGGTCATGGATCTTCCTTTGAAAGAAGACTGAGCCAATGTAGGAATAGAGTCCTTCTGCCCTCTATCATTTTGCCATCCCCATTGAGTACTTGAACCTCATTTCTTTCCTCTGCCTTTTAATCTGGACATATCCAAAGAAGGCTTTTTTGTTGCTTTAGCATCCTTCACTAGCCTCAGTTCATTCCCTCAATTCTGTGCTACCTGCCTGTATTAATAGTAGATATTTTTTTCACAATTAATTGCACAAATTAAAAAAAGAAACAGTTGGCAACTGGTCTAAGGTGCCACTGGGACACCTTGGAAGGGCAGCTCATGCTTGTCAAAAGGGGGTCCCAGAAGTCATCTTGACAGCCAATTTTTATGAACTGGGAAATGGGAAAAAACAGTTTATAAGGCAAATAAAAGTTGCAGTGAGCCCAAAAGGGCACACTGCTGCTGCTAGGAAAGGAGGGAAGTCAGTGCCATCTCCCCATGAGAGTCTTAGGCTCTTACAGGGCAGTGAACCCCATGGCAAGACCCACAGCAATGGTAAGCTGCTGCTTTTGCCATGAGGCTCCCAATTTGTGCACAAAATAAAATAGAATATTTTCTGAACACATATTTAAATGCTACACAGCTGTGGGTATTGGACCTACAATACACAAAAATAAAATTATAGATTTCCTTACCTCACTGTATAATTCGGCATTGGCTTTGGCCTTGACCAACTGTGGTACATCCTGAGGTAAAGTATACTGTGTTTTGGTTTTTTCATACTGGGCTCGGTAGTTCAGCTGCCAGATCATAAGAAGCATTTTCAATAAGACAAGTATAATGGTATAGAACTATGAAAGAGTTGTTAGCAGCTGAATTTTTTAACTGAAAACCACAACAGAATTGTCAAGAAACCATTTTGCTGTTCAAGAAGGTTCCAGAAACCCATAAAGTACATCTGCAAAATGCTAAATGTCATTAACATGTTTGAAATCTATAAATGCAAAATGTAATCCATTTTTCAGGTGGCAAATAGTCTATGATATCTAATACTGTGCATATAAAAAGAACAGAAATTAGTATCAGTCATTTTGGAAAAGAGAAATTAGGATAGTATAAAATATTCATTCATTTATATTCATTTTGTGAGTTCTCAGGGAAAGTGTGGCAGGTTAAATTGCATTGAACTCAATATAATTTTACCTATTAATTGGTCTAGTTTTAGTGACATATAGACACAAGAAACTTGTTCTGGATTATACCTGACATAAATAAATCACGGGACGGCAGTTAGGAACTTATCAACAACTCTTACAGAATAAGAAGCACTTCCATTCCTATCCATCTAACAGAAGTGGGGGGGGGGGGAATCCAAAGGGGACAGAAAAAGGATTCAAGACTAGCCTTCTACTAGTGTTCTGTGTGCAGCGATTAGGTACAAAGAAATTTCAGGAATTTGTCCACAGCCTCTGTGCCAGCGTTCATCTAACACCCTTCAAGCTTGCATGATCTACGTGCATTGTATTACGTATACACAGCATTCAACAGAGTAAACATCTGGCAAGAATGACCAATTAGATGGCTATCTGTTCTTAGTACTTTATCTCTACCACTCCAGTTTTAACACTGAGTCTAACAACCTTCCATTCTTAGATTTGTGTTATAGTTAAAGAAATCCCCCTCATTGTTAGCCAATGATATCCTTACAACAGGAATTATTATCTACATTGAGAAAATGGGGAAGTGGGGGGCAACAACCTTGCCCTTCTTTGCAGAGGTAATAATTTGGACTTGACTAAAGAACACAAACTATGTGGGAAGGGATGTATTCCTCTTTCCTGCCATTGCCCTGTTTGCCGGTCATACCTCTGGGCCCAATCCACACAACTGGCCAGAGAGTGCAAGATGATTCAAAGCTACTGCTTCTCTTCCTTGTTACTATCAGGTGGTGAATCAAGAACACATCTGGGGGACTCCAGGGTTTGGCTGTGGACCCCTGAAGCTACTGACCCTGATAGGGCTCTTTCACTTGGGAACCAAGTGCAAGGTATCTGTTTACTTTGTAATCATTCTCATGTTGTTGGGACAATGACAATAGGACTTACATCACTGAACTGCTGTGCATTGATCTTTGCTTGCATCAACTGAGGTGTGCAGGTAACAGAGCTGTATTTCAGTTTGTCTATACTTTGCTTATAGTTCACCTATATTAAAAACAAACACACAGAGACACACATGACAACAATCACACAAACTTTTGTAAGGCTTGGAGATGCAGTTGTTATACCATCAAATATATTATCTTAAAAATCATAGCAAATAAACAAAAAACCTCATGTTTTTTTAATATGAAGTAATTTCATTGATCAGATATGTATAAAAAAATCAGTCACTCCATTTGTTCAAACTTTATAAACTTCAGCTAGATAATATTTGCACCATATATGCACAGAAAAAGGGGACATTCAGTGGGGCTTTGCCAGAAATAAAATACTATATCTGGATTTTACCAAGGTGGTTTGATACTAGAGAAAACACTTTTCCAAGGCAAGAGTCTTTTCAAGGGAGATCACTTTGCAATACCATATCTTTTATCTAGCAAACTTTTGTTGCTCATCAAGATCAACTAAATAAATACCCATCTCCTGATGCAGCAATCATTTCTCACTGGCTTTAAAATTGTAGTTTCTTCCCCCACTGCTACTTAAGAAGGTGAATTTGGCCTTTATTCAGCTTTCAGCTGTTTTTGAATATTGATGCTGTTAATGTACATGATATGCCTGAGCATTTGGCCATCATCTATTTCATTCCAATGTTTGTTTCTTCTTCATTTTTAATAATTTTCTTTTATATCTCTCTTTATATTTTCATAATTATGTAATAAGTCCGATGTATTAAATATAACTAATATAGGTTGATGAGCAGATAAAATACCCTTAAAATTTATTTTTAATTTGTGTATGTATCTAATAATTGAGTGGGACCAGGCTGCCAGAATTGCTTTGTTGTTTTTCCAAGGAGGCAAAAAGGCTTCTCCCCTCCTTCGTTCTTAAACAAAAAGAGAAAGAGAGTGCAAGACAATCAAAGGCTGCTGTTTCTTCTTCTTCTATCAAGAGGAGGAAAAAGAGCAGATCAGGAGGTCTCAGGGGTTGACTGTGGACCACCTACAATGCTGACCCTGATATGGCTCTTCCATTTAGGGACCGTTGCCACAAGTGCAAGGTATCTGTTTAACTCTGTCATTCCTCTTGTACTGTATCTATGAAAATTGAGCGATGCCGTCAGGACTTACATCACTAAACTGCTGTGCATTGATCTTTGCTTGCATCATCTGAGGTGTGCAGGTAACAGAACTGTATTTCAGCTTGTCTATACTTTGCTTATAGTTTACCTAAATTAAAAACAAACACACAGAGGCATAGATCACAATGACCACAGAACTGTTGCATGGCTGGAGATACAGTATAGCCATTATTATACCAGAAAACTACCATTATCTAGAACAACAATGTGACCTATAGAAAGCAAGAAATTAAAATTCTATTATGCAAGATAGTGTCATGGTGAGGTTTTCCTTTAAGCCTGTTCTTCTCAAAGACCTCTGTGGATACAATTACTGTTCTCAGCAAGGCTTAATTAATATATGCCTTAGTTAATTGCCTCCTTACTAACTTTAAACTGTGCGCTACTTAAAAGTAAAAGAATTTGTTTTGCGGGAAAGGGATTGTCGAAAGTGGTATTTGAGAGCTATAGAATCTAGGAAAAAATGTAGGTATGTTATCTCACAAGGTATAAACGATCAAAGTAATTGAAATAGTTAATTTACTATGTCCCTTTTGATATCCAGTTCAGCAGGCAATCTGAGACTGCTGTCTGAAGTTTTTAGACAAACTCCATATATATTAAATGGATGATAGCCGCTGAAAAATAACCTTTTTCTGGTTACTTCATATATTTTCAAGGTACATCAAGCTAGGAAGCACATACACTGGACTATTGACTTGGCCATATGCCAAAGTATCTAGCTGGAAAACATAACTTCATATTCTTAAATTGTTCATGGTATATTGAGATTTTGACCATCATGTGAGGATACATCCCACAAAGGATTATATACCTTTCTGTCCTTTTACCCATTATGCTAAGGTATTTGTGTAGGTTGCATTATTCTCCTCAGAACAGGATTGGCACTAGGGATATCTGTTATCCACAGATCCCTTCTCTTCAGGAATTCTTGGGAAATGCACTCTGACAAAAGTGCAGCTACCAAAATTCTAATCCCTGGGCATGATATCGGCATAGAAATGTTCTAAATAAATAAATGATCTGGTGGCATATCAAATGATGCAACCATTTTTCTGTAACTAAACTCATATGATTTTAGCCAATGCCTGCATGAGCAACTAATTGAGATTTTTATGGGTGCTACCTGAACTTCCATGATGGGAGAGAGGCAAGACAGAAATGAAATGCACAGTTAGTGTTATTTACATTTAGATAAAAGCAATATAAATTTGTAGCGCAATACAAAATAATGACATTTGGATTACAACTGAGAAACTGACCTGGCACATCTGAATGCAGCAAGTTCTATATCTTAATCCCAGTCCCTTGAGAATTCATGAAGCTACCAGCCTGAAAATGCCCTCCCGCTTTAGAGCTCTGTTACCACTGACTGTGTTTGTTAATGCAATTAAGTTACTGCCTTATTAAGGGCTCTTATACCCCTTCGAGATGGAATAGTGAATCATGCAAACAACAGGGTAAGAATTCAGAAGGCTATTTACATCTTTCAAAGGGACCAACTTTCTTGTTGTTTGATATGAAGGAGTGAGTGTAGCTGGGTAATTGTAGCCAACATCGTCATGTGTGTAATCAGATTTATAGGCTATCTGGAACATAAAAAGAACAAAAACAAACAACTTTTTTAAAGCTGTCATTTGTTTTGAATAGTTATCAGACAAAAGAAAGAGAATGAAAAAAACAGTAATATTAATATTAAACACATGCAACAAAATAACTTCAGTGTTGTCAGTGCCAAAGAAAATGAAATTATTTGCATAGTTTAGCTGCTAATTGATTCTTTTTCAACCGCACAATTAATCCACTGCCAACTGCAGGAGCATTAACTTAACTTCTACCTGTGACATACCCCTTTTATCTTTCTGCTTAGTTTTTGAGCTTCTTATAGATTTGTAAATAATATACTTCAACTCATACTATCTAATGAAAATAACCCCAATAAAAATAAAGCCAAGCCGTCTTATTCTTTAAATTCTGCACTGTACAAACAACCTGAGCCTGGAAAATACAGCATGACCTGAGCTTCTACTTATAGCAAAGGAAAAAGGGCAATAGGGCTAAACTCAAGCAATTTACAAAGCTATGCTATGGTTCCTGAAAAAGTGTCCCATATGATATAGTAGATTTCTGCACTATTGAGGCTGCAGACACTGCTAGGATCTTGGGGCCACTGTGGAAAGCACTGCAGCTGTAGTTATTTTACACTGTAACAGCAATGCTGGAAAAGCTCTGAGAAAGGGAAAAGTGAGCCAGACAGTGGTGCAAGATGCTTGTGAAAGTTGAAAGTGCAAAGAAAATGAGGAACAGGAGGAGGTTTCCCCCCTCCCCCTCTTTCCTTTGCCCATTTCGCCAAACTCCTGCTGGCAAGTGATAGCAGACAGAGAGCTCCAAGACTGCAGCCCCCTGTCTATTGATTGGCGATAACTTAGTACTTGCATTCTTAATTACCAGTCTCAGGGCTCCTTGCCACTGGGATGAATTAATTAACGTCTTCCACAAAAGCGAACGTTGCAAATCACAGTTATGCCCATGAGCCAGCAACATTATGCTGACATGCATCCACTTATGCAGAGATCATTATCAGCATATTCATTTCTATGTCTTTCAACAATGTTTCCAAAAACCATATTATTTTCACTGTGTCCTCTGATCCTAGCACCTTCCCAGAAATAAGTAAACCTGATGGCCAAATAAGAGCAAACCTGATGACCAAATGATTCATTTGACCTAGCTGCAAATAAGAGATGCCATATTGAAACAGTATATGCTCAAAGCATTTAGGCCAACTTGAGTTCAAAGAACTTACATTGCTTGCCAAGCTGCCAACCTTCATGGCATGTAGTGTCCGTCGGTCCATGCCAACTCCTTCATAATGACCTTTCTGGTTCTGGTAATGTTCTTTGTATTTGAGCTGCACAGAAAAACAAATCTCCTCTCAGAGATGAGAGTGCCTTCTTTGATATCATAACAAAAAAGGTGTAACAGAGTTATGTCCAGCGTTAGAATAACTTGTATTAACTTTTCTATCTGAAAAGAATAGGCATGCCCCTTCATTTTATATTAGTGCCTTCGTTTTATTTAATGTCTGTGGGTAACAGACAATGTCCCTTTCATTTATGAGCAAAAGAGAGGAGTTAAAAAAGAAATTCAAGTTTATTGCTTTACAAGACTTATGGACAATTCTTTATGCATTCTGATGAGATTTTAGCTCATCTGCGTCCTACGCGTAGTGTCTACATTTGGTGTTTTTAATGTCAAGTTTAATTCTTATATTACATAGATTTTAACGGGATTTCGGGCTTTTCAAAACATATTTTACAAAGAGCAATGCAGCTATTCTGACACCTTCTGTTCATAAAGGTAAGTTGTTCAATTCAACTACAGGAATATAATGCATTGGGGGGATGTATAGTGGAGCCCCTTCTATTTACAAAAAAGCACTGTTGCAGTATTTATGCAAATCTGCTAGCCACTGTTAAGGCACTAATAAATACAGTGAAGCTTCCACTGTGTTGAAAATATAATTGTGTGTCACTCACAAGTGCAATTGTGGAAGAAGGAGGCAGAGTTGAAAGGGGGATTGTGCAGGGAAACGGTTCTTTTTAAAAAAAAAAGTTGTATCTTTCAATCCATTAGCAAGGTGCAATTGCAGAAGAACTAACAATCGGAGTTTTTTTAGAATGTGCAGCTCTCTCTTTTTCCTCACAGAAATCACGGAGAAGGAGAAAGAGAGACACAGAAAGGCTGCGGGGCTTCTCAGTGCCATGCTCCCACCTCCCAAGCAGCTCAGTCAGCCTATTCCCCTCGACCCAAAAGCAATTCCCAACAGCAAATGCAGCATCCTTCCCATGTTGACTCTCTCAAGAAAAAGGGCCACTGAGGTCAATTAATTTGCTTCTGAGTGTCACTGGAGAGAACCTGATTAACTTCTGAGTAGACATCTAGTTGTTCCTTACAGGATGGAGGGAATGGGGGAAGCAGCATTGCCTTTGCCCTCCAGTCTGCTGGGTCAGTCAGAGACAGGTCGCAAAAGAGAGCCATGGGGATTGGTGAAAGAAGCAACCAGCCAACTGAAGGCTGGTTGGGCTTAACTCCCTTTCAGAGCTGCTGCAGTTTGGTTGAATTCTGATCAGACATTTCCTCTTGCAGCAGCTCTCCCGCCGCTTGTGCCCAACTCTCCATCGACGCCACTTCTCCTTCTTCCAGAACATTACCACAAATTTATCACACTGGGCTACACATCTCAGAAAAAGGCAAAATATAAAAAGCCCTGCTTTAACTGGTCTGAAGAAATCTAGGAAGTAATGGCAGAAATAGTGCAAGGAAGACAGCTTGGAGTGACATGCCATGATGTTAGGCATATTAATGCCAGCAGAAATAACTATTTTTTGTTGCTGTAATCCACCCAGGGAGCCATATGGCTAATGGGGCAGGTTAGAAATCAAATAAGTAAATACATATTATTCTTTTATCTATACTTATAAACAGTTTATGCTCTTATATTTGTATACTTATATTCTGCTCTATCATTTGTAAACCAAATAGCATTGCCTGGGGTTATCTGGTAGCATTAAGAAATAAATATAAGAAAGTAAATGAGAGCATAGATAATTAGCATTAACGATTTTCAGATACTGTTTGATTAGATTAGCGATGAATTGTATGTAATCTCCTCCCATAAAGATTTTTATATTCCCAATGTTGCGTTTGTTCAGGTATTCTGCACTGATCTAGAGTTCACACATGTACAAACTGTGATTCCAACAGTGACTAAGCAAAGCTTTTACACAATTGCATGCAAGTAATGAACAACTTACATCACTGGTGTATTTTGAGATCTTGCTAACATTCCTGAACTGAGGGGTCTCACAATAGTTAATACTGTGGCCTTTGCTGTTCTCCAGATCCTTCTTATATTCCACCTTAAAAATCAGAATGTACAACAGTGGGAAGTGCAAATATATTCACAGTATGGTGGCAATGCAAGTTAAATCAAGCAATAAGAGAAAGGTTTCTATGGCCCTGCTTCACTCTCCAACATTCACACATTGGCTTCAGACTTTGGTTTGTTGTGAGGGTGATAAACTAGGCCTCCAGGGTTGGATGTAGTAGGAAGATTTGGCTCTGGTTAGCTCTGCTACTTCTGCTTTTACATACTGCTCATGTGTGATAAGTCAGAGGTTCCAGAAATTCTGGCTAAACATGGGTCTCACAGGCTGGATTCAGTCTGTGAGTTACTGAGAGTCAATCCACTGAAATCAATGGGTTTTAAATTAGTCATGATAAACATGTCCTATTGATTTCAATTAGTCTTGTCCAACCATGACTAAATCTGGATTCAATCCCATGTTGGTCAGCTTGCAGGCAATCTGAAACCTCTTTGCAATGAGGCTAGTGAGATAATCCCTAAGAGACTTGGGGGAGGCTTAAGTCTGTTGAAAAATGGGATGCAATCCCACAGTTTCAAAAGCCCTGTTGAACTCAGTAGAACTCACATTGAGTAAACAAGTATAGGATTGCAAATCCCACCGGCTCTCCTGAGATCTGCACTTAAATTTGTCTGACACACCAATGTACATGGCCCTATCTTTTTTCCAGAAGCAAAATCAAAGGTGAATTTGGAGGCAGTGAAATGGGAGTGGAGGCAGGGGAGGGGAGAAGAGGACAGAGGAACTTAAAAAGAAAATAATGCACAAGGTCTGCACATTTTCCAGAGTTTTAGAAGGAGCAGAGCTGGGGGTGGATAGGATCATACATCTCTAAGCTGCATATCCTCCAGCATTATACGAAGGAAAACTGGGACATGCTTACAATACTTCACTTGTCATATCATGATCCAAGAGTACCATGCTTTTCACCAAAGACTCTGCTGTTTTACTCTGCATTCATCTGTTATGCAAACACTGCCCTGTACTGATTTGAAACCAAGAAAGTCTTAGTAATTTGGACCAAAGATAGACCAGATAAACCTTTACCGACCTGGTACAATCCAGACGTGTTGAACTGTACCATCAATTGGATAGAAGTTGTAGTTCAGCACATCTAGAGGGCAGCAACTTGGGAAGGCTGTACTCAGAACAGAGTATTTTGCTAAAGGAGGCTGTCAACAGTTCAAAACCTAGCTCAGCAGCGGCATGGTATTAAATGGCACAGCTTAAATGCCAGTTATTGTTCCCTAGATTACAGACTTTCGTATCAATCAGGATATTTTTTGATCTTCTTACCTCACTGTATAGCTTGTTCACATCCTGGGCTTGTTTAAGAACCAGGTTTTCTTGGGCTGAAAGAGAATGATAGTGTGCTGCTCCTTTCATCTTCGAAAAGTCTTTCTTGTATTTTATCTGTATATATATATGAAAAAACAAAGGACAAAAAGACAGGATGTAATCGCTACTGGGTGACCATCCTTTCAATTTGCTTAACTGCTCTTGGAAGAACACTGTGAGTTTCAATTAGAATTAATTTCCCCAGTTAGAACTAATAGCTGAGGATATTCTCTTAGACAATCAAGTTCCAATTTTTCTAACAATACCTAGAAATGCCTGTAGATATGGCAGGAAGGCAGCATTTTGCACATGCACAAAGAAAGGCAGATAGAATCAACTGTCAACTGGCCGTGACAATAACTATGTTTTTGCAATCCATATGTTCTCTTTTCCATGTATTAATAACTGATGAAGGTTAACTGTAGTTAGTATTTTTGATAGGAGCAACGATAGCTGGAAGGAGCATAGCTATCCACTGTCATGCCAACAACTATGCATGAAATTACTCTTGAGCTGTTTAGCCCATAAACAACCCAGTGGTTGAGGCCCACACATCACACTCCACAGCTTAAAAATGAACCATCCATGTAAACATGAAAGAGCTGTGTAGGCTTCATGATTCACGAGCCCATGGTCTGTTTGCCTACTTGTTTTGCAATGGTTTCTGACTTGCATACATTTTATGAGATGTAATTAAATTAATCTTAGGCATCTCAGTGCTAGCTGCTTCAGTAAATACCATGGGTATTGGATCCAGGGGTGTAGTGATATATTTTGAAATGATGGTTGCTCTCATGACACTCCCATAGCTGTGGTCCCAAGCAACGTCCCAAACTTTAGACAGATGTATACATCAACAAACCAGTCCTAGTAGTTTTTCATCTCCACCAAGAGCAGGTTGAGATTTTAGTGACTGGTCCTAATTGCCCATTCAAGAGCAAGTCACCCTAAAATACTTTTATGCTCACAGTGAAGAGGAAATTTGGCAAACAGTGGCAGATGATATCTGTCCCCCTGCTGGGCTGTGTTTCTGTGAGCCTTCCCTACATGGTACCACTGGTTAGATTCAAACATGCTCCTTCTCAGAATGGAGCAAGTCCTTCCAGGTGTTGAAGGGTAACTTTGGATCCCACCCTTTCCTTTGGATCCCACCAATTAGCTCTTTGAAATAACTGCCTACTGAGATTAGAAATGTCAGTTTGGGTGGTCAACATAAACTTCTAAGAGGTAAAGTTATCTAAAGAATGTGGCAACAGTGCAGAGGACTACTTTAGGTGTTCCATTGGTTTTAGGCATGCCTGGATGTTTCAATAAATAACTGCTTTTTCAAAGTTCTCATAATTCCAAAATATTTTGTGGTGCTGAGTTGTCCAAGAACCACTTTAATTTGATGACCAAGTTGTGTAGTTTTCCTTCTAACCCAGCTCACTAAAGAAATGATTGTTTTCATGCTAAGGCAGAAAAAGAATGTTGTGATTATTTGTTCTTCTGTTTTTGAAATTTCTGCAGCTTAGCCCTGTTCAGAACAAGTCATTTAACAGATTTCTCAGACAAACACATACCAACACATCCATTTTGGAGTTCTATTAAAATAGCCTTTTCACTCTAGCCAGAAGCATCCATATCTGGCATCACTGGATGGCTCACAAGAGCAGCTAAGAGCCCTAAACATTGCTACTCTTTTTATAGGTCCCTACTCTTTTTATAGGTTCCTATTAGTTGCTCATATAATATGACACCATAGCATCATTTGGTTATAAATGTTGACTAAGATCTCATGTTTCATACATACGTCACTAGACAATTCATTTGCCTTCTTTGCATTTAGATATGCTGGTGTGATCATTGCAGGAAAGCTCCCTTTCCCTCTGGGCTCTTCATATTCATCCATATAATCCTGGAGAAATAAAGGAATCATAATTTTTAGAATGTGAGTGTGATTTATGTTTTGACAGGAAAGGCTCTGCAGAATTCCTCAGCCAGTCATGGGCTGTAGGACTCTTTTCTGTCTAAACATGCATAGGATTGCACCTTGACATTTGTACATCTCTATCATCTGGTTTTCAAACGTGGGCATAGATTTCAGCTTCTGTAGCTTCCAACATAATAGAGACCACAGAATATAAGAAAATGGGGCAGAGTTGAAAATGCATTTAAATACAATTCCCATGACACAGTTCATTTTTAAAATACCTGTTGAAGGCTGATAATGTATGACTTTAATAATACTTTCAGTGATGTTTGCACAGATGACACATATCCCTGCATTTTTCTTCTTTCAGATCATTCAACATTCATACTTTTTCCTCCATAATGGGTGCATTTTGAATGGTCTATATAATACTTCCAACAAACAACAAGGATATGTCATATGCCAGCAGTGGATACATACATGAATGTATTTCAGGTAGCCCTATATATCAACTATAAAGCAATGTTAAAGTAGAAAAGGAAATCCCTTACATTCATATTCAGAATGTGGTGAAACCCTTCCTTTGTTTTGGCATATGAAGGGAAATAACATTTGAGATATGGAAAAGTAGTTCTCAGTACAATTTATTGAAAACATTGGCCAGTATCCAACAGAGCACTGGCATAAAGAGAAGACATATGTGATTCTTTTTTCTTAACCCACACATCACATTCCGTGCTTTTTCAGAGATCGGTGGATTCTCCACTGGCTCCAGTGGAAACTTTTTCCTTTTTGAATGCATCAGTAGCAGTGTCTAGATCAGGCATGTTCAAGCACTTACACCCCAGCAGGGGCCAGCATGAGCCCTTGGATTTGCAATGGGGTTTTACTGGACATGCTCTGTTATAACTTTCTTGGACAATTGTGGTGGGGCAGGAAGCAACACAGATGCCACCACCTCCTTGCTTGCTGGTTTTCTGCCTGGCAAGCAAATAGTAAAGGATGAAAGAGCATGAGGAGCAAGTCTGGTTGTTGACATTGGTGGATACATGGTATATTCCATGAAGGAGTGGGCCCATTTAGGGTGCTTTGCCCAACAGCCCACTGAAACCTGGAGCCTGTATAGATTCGTATAACATGTAGTTTGGCTCACAGAAGCAGGATTTGGGGAGGGAGGCATATAGGATACATGAGGATAGGGGGTTGTAGAGATTCCACTTCTACAAGAGATCATATGGTCATTGTCATTAAACAATTACAGAATAACTGTTCATGCATTTGCATTGCTGCTCACCTGACTAAACTGATCTAGATTTTCTTTTGAGGCACCATCTGAGTGACTTGCTTTCCCCTTAATCTCCTTTTCATACCTTTGATGATACTTGACCTAAAAGCAAAGATAGTAAATGGATGAATCTATTCTGCTGATCTAAACACCTAAATTTATGAGATTTGATTCCTTTTAAAGCCCATACACTTTACTTTTCCATAAAAATTCCCCAAAGTGCCATGGAATAAAATGGCAAACCAATAGTTTTATTTGTGTGTGTGTGTGTGTGTGCGCGTGAGAGAGAGAGAGAGAGAGAGAGAGAGAAGGAGGAACACTGCTCCCCAGTCATATTACAAAATCATGTTATACTCGCCCTATGTACACACCCCACCATTTATCCAAGTGGCAAGAAATTCCAGGAATGCAGCATTTCTCCATTTGTGATTTCTTTTAGAAGGGGACTACTGGAGGTTATGGGCATCTTCGTAATATTCATTGCAAACCAGGGAATTTTTAAAGTAATTGGGGGCATATAAATGGAAATCTAAATAAATTATAAATACAATATTTGTAATATTTGTATACTTCCAAAATAATTAAAGTATTCTTATGCAGTATTAAAAATTTCTTATGCAGTTTGCATGTAAAGATTTAAAACACACTTAAAATATTAAATAACAATTTAATTCCAATTCCGATTTATAGGGATAATGGTATAGAGCAGTGCAGTGGAGCAGCACTGCTGATTTTGTTACAAACCAGTGAAAGTCTGAGTGAGCAAGTTCATTTCCAGAAGGCATTCGAAAAGTGCCACATTTCCTGCTTACCTAACTACAGAAGGGAATTGTGAATGCTGCTACTGAGAAAGGCACCACTGAGGTACTACAGGACAACATTCCAATAATTGAGAATGACTAGCAAGGCTTCTTCTTATCATGTTAATGGTCAGTGGGTATATATAAGGAAAGGGATCCTCCTAGGTATCCAGGTCCCAAGTTGTTCAGGCCTTTCTGCATCACCAGTATAACTTTGACATGGCTCTGTGGCAAATATGTAGCCATATTTCAGTTCATTTCACTGATACTGTCTGAACATACATATAGGCAAGCTGAGGCTGACACACTGGTAGACATACCAAGTTCACTGTTCCCACATCAGACCTTCAGAATACCATCAGCATTCTAAGATGCTTAACGAAGCCCAAATTCGGGCCTCTGGGATCAGATCAGTGGTACCCATGGTGCTTACGTAAGCCACTGTCAGTTGTGGCCCATATCTACAGCCATTTTGGATATTAAACCCTTGCTGGGAGGTTGTCATGTTTTACCATGTCATCTGAACCATGACAAGCTGGTTTATGGAGAGGAAAATAACACGCACACACCAGTGAAGAAAAGTATAACAAACACCCCTCATGGTTTGTTGTCAGGTGAATTCCAGTGCATATACAAACTGACACAGAGTCCCTCTGGTTCAAACCGCAAAGATTTTTTACCCTTCACAGATACTTAGATTAAAAGGTCTCCAGTGTCTGTACTGGCGAAAGGGGAGAGGGTGCCTGGGCTCACTTCTCTCTCCTCTTCAGAGTTAAGCAAAAGAACTGTTGTTCTAATCAATAGGCTTTTATTATGCTAAACTGCAAGCAAATGAATTTGGCTTTAGGTTATAGATGAAGAATTTTCTAGAAATCAATAACAAAAGAAAAAAGTTGTGCTACATTCTTACAGAATCAGTTCATTAATGTTAATATGAACCAACTGAAAGTTGATTTCAGACTACTTAAAATAAACTAATGTTATCAACTTCCCTGGAATTCTAAAAACAAAACCTTCTCATGCTCCTGATTTCACAGAGCCAACCACTTTGAACATCTCATTCTTCATCATTGTTCTTCCCTCTTTAAAGGATGGCTCACCCTTGGATCTGTCATGCTTATTTCTTAAATCTCTCAGGGTAGTTTTTAACCCACCTGCCCCCTACCCTCGCCTCATTCAAATGAGATGACAAGCCAGGTTCAATGAAGATAATTGTGGTAATTTGGCAGTGCTCAACCAGCATGCATGGGGCAAGAAAATAAGCTACAGTCACGTATTCTCCTTCCCTGATAGTGCATGCTCAGTAATAGCATGGATTCCTCTCACAACAGTAAGACTGTTGTCAGACATGGTACAGATTCTGAAGATCCGGGATTTTGAACAACTTTCACCCTGAAGCTAAATTCAGCTTTGGACAAGCTCTCAGAATCCATACTTTTTGGAAGAGAAAAGGAGCAGGCCAATGTGTCAGTATATTTCAAATTAAAACTCTTACTTCTGATAACTAAATTTAACACAATCATTTCAGCCATTTAGAAGGGGATGAAGTAGCTGTACAAAAGCCAGGAAAGCAGAAACAATGGGAAGGGGTGTGGCCTTTTAGAAAACTCCAGAGAACTGAATTGGCTCTCCGAGCTGTAGTTCATTATCCCTGAAAGAGACCATGCTTTTAAAACTTACATCACTGGCTAGTTCATTGGCCCGTTTAGCAATCTGATAAGCTGGAGTGATCATAGCAGGGAAACTGCCTTTTCCTCGCTGTTGTTCGTAGTCTTCTGTATATCTAGACTGGAAAAATCAAGAGAATTTATATCACACAGCCACAGGCTTACAAAGGGGAAGCATTGTGTGTGTTTCCCATGGACCAAATCTCTTTTTCTGTTCTACTTACATCACTTATAAGCTGTCCTCCAAACTTTGCATGGAGTATATCTGGAGTATCTACAACAGTGGTGAATTTGGAAACACGATCTTCATGTCCTCGTTTATATTCCACCTAGGGAAGGAGTGGAGACAAAGCATATTGGAAAATTACTTTGAACTATCCATTGATTTCCTGCTATCCAGCAAGAAATAAGGAAAGGGAAGATGATATTTTGCTATATTATATATTATGTTAATTAATATATCACAATGTTTGGTCACAATATAAATTCCTTAATTGCAAATGCAAAAGTCGCACCTTGAATTACTAAAAGAGGCTGAAATGACAAATTATTCTAACCCTTTTTGTTAAAATAGTATACTGTAGTTTAATTCATGCTGAACTCATTCAGTTGCCAAAGATGCAACTTGTTTTATAACAAGGGACTGGCAATGGAGCAGTAAATGTACTAAAGGCCTCAATCCAGAAGTGTGTTAAAGTTCAAACTCAAAAGAAACTTTAATTTTTTTATTTGGATGAAAACACCATTTTTAACCGTAGCCCAGCATGTTTAATCAGTAACCATTTTGAATGCTTTCATCTTCAATTTATGTTAGAGCATTATGTGCTATTCTTTGAATATCTGTGAGGACTTTCCTTTTATCTCATATCATAAATTGTATGCATATTGAGAATTAAAATAATGTATTACTTTGTTAAGGATGTTATGATTTAAGAAGTCAGTGGCCAGGTAGGAAATACATCAACCAATAAAGATTGTTCAACATGATTAAGTTAGAGGGAGGAAGGCTATTTAAGCAGCAGAAGGTTAAGCGCCCCTTTTCACCTTGTTTCGCAGTTCACTTGTAATCATTTATCCGTCAGTGTCTCTGATCATGATGCATAAGAAAGGTAACTACACCCTGTCTTCACTATACACTGCCTTTTCAATGTTTTATTATAACTGGAAGCTTTACATGATTTTTCATGGAAACTTCAGCTGGTACAGACTGCAGCTGCCTGGCTGCTGGAGGAGGCTGATAGCCCATCGATTTTTTTGCCAGCTGCATTGGCCCAATTCCCAGGTGAATTTCTAGGTGCTGGTTTTAACCTTTACATCCTTAAATGGTTTGGACCCCAGTTACTTGGTGGACCACAGCCTCCTATACCAACTTTCCTGCGTTCTGAGGGCATCAGCAGAGGCCTTTCTCACCTGCCCTCCACCAAGGGCAGTTAAGTACAAGCAAGAAGACCATTTCAATTTATCAAGATCCTTCTTAGCAGGTCTTCAGGAAGGCACTGAAGTCTCACTCATTTTCACCAGCTGCAAGTTTCATCAGGATTATCTGTTTTCATAGCATTTTTTTGAAGATTGTTTGTTTTTTCTATTGTTTTTGCCTTCCATTTGTTTGTATTGCCTTTATCTGGTATTGCACCTTGAGAGGGTTCGACCCTTAAAGTCAGCCTAAAAATCATTTAAATGAATAAAGCAGAAGCCTGTGGCCCTTGCTGTGGACACTCCTGCAATATTCAGCCCTCTTTCAAATGACATCCCTGGAACTCACATTACTGGACAGTTGAGTAGCTTTCTTGGCGATCTGATAAGCAGGAGTGATCAGAGCAGGAAAACTGCCTTTGCCCCTTTGCTGCTCCTCTTCAGTTTGATACTTCACCTAGAAGAAAGAAAAATGGGCGTGTTCAAATGTTGGCCATGTAACTAATTCCCCTAATATTTATTTATTGGTATCCTATCTTTCCTCTGTGATTGCATGATTACTTCCAATGAGTTTCCTCAAATCCAGTATGACTTCCTACAACGTAAATACACATAAGACAGGGCTGCAAGTAGCTTGTGAGAAGCAGTTTTAATTTCACCCAGTTAAACCACATGCTGCATTAAAAATATAGCATGCAGCTGACCTTCACACTATTCTTCACCAGTTTATTCACATCAAAGTCTAATAGGAAACCACCATATTTGGGTAGGGTAGGTGTAAACTTTTCCATCATGCCACTTTCCACCCCCAAATCTCCCCTGCCCCAAAAAACCGCAGAGCCTAAAGGGAAGGCTAAGAAACCTCATTGTGAAGAACACAAAGTTCACTGTGAAACCAGAGAAAGTTCATTGTTGTTGTTCCTACAACCTCCCATCCTTTATCCTCTCAAAAGCCACTTGTTTTCTTAAAAAGCCTCACTGATGTACTGGGGACCCTCCTGAAAAATGTATGGGGCTTCTGGGAAAAGAGAAAATTGCTCCAAATTAGATTAAGATTCACCCAGTTTTCCATAAGTCTACCTTAACCTGGTAGCTCCTTTCCTTACAGGGCCAGCTCTGTCTTTAGCCAAAGTGGAGTGGCTACCTCAGGCTGTAGATGCTTTAAGGGTCAAACAGCAGTAGCAAGCAGTTGGAGGGCACTTTCATGTTTGCTCATCCCAAGGGCAGTGGAAGATACTGGTCCAGTGCCAGAGTCACCCCTCTTTGCCTCAAGCATCAAAATAGTTCTTGCCTATCCTGCATTGGTCTCATGTCCCAACCTGCATTGGACAGGAGGCCAAATGGCCTTCCAGACAGGTTTTTGGGCACCAGCAGCCAGAGCTGCGGGGAAATGTACAAACATTCTTTCTAGAAGCTTTCTTCACCCATCCTAACAGCCAGACTTGTGTGGATATGGAAACGTATTTCGTGACAGGTTGTAGGTGCACTTACATCGCAAAGTGTGTTCTGTGCTTGGGCTATTCCGACCATTTCCGAATTTGCAATGGTGTCTGGGAACCAGGATTTACTTTCTTCATATGTATCATGATAGGCTTTCTAAACAAATGAAAACTGTATAATGAGAACTGCACGCAGTTGTACAAACTTTTAGCTTCATCTCAAAAGATCTATTCTTTTAGTAGATTATAAATGTGCAGCTGGATGTGACCACATCCCTTTCTTCTTTCTATCATACACTAATTCTTGTGGACTATGTTTGTGCTTTTGAATCCTGATCAAAAGCAGAAACGTAATTCCATGGGAAACAGTCCCAGGGATTCCCTTCACTTTTGTATCATGCATGAAACTCTGGCACTTTAGTCCCAAACTTAATGAACTATACATTTGCTTTGTTTAAAATGGCATTTGAACTTACATTCCTGTTAATTTGATTTTGATCAGGGTGTCAGACCTAGAGAGAGGACATCCTAACTCCAGTCCTATGCACCCAGTGCCTCTGCCTGCACTGACAATGTAGTGTAATTGTCTTACTTTAGGAACCCCAGTGGTACTCCTCTTTAAGGATGAGTAGTCCCTAAAGTCCAGCCGAGTCCCTAGTACGTTGCTAAGGAGTGGGGCCACTGAACCTATGTTCAAGCAAAGTGAATCACCCAGCAGGTTTTAATTCTTTTCTATTCAAAATTAGTCTATTATTTTTTCCTTTTCTCTGGTTTTTGTTTTCCTTTTTAAATAGAATTATTTTTCTAGCCAATGAATTGGATTGGGACAGAAATTGAAACAGTGCAATCCCATACATGTCTACTCAAAAATCAGTCCCATTGAGTTCAATAGGGCTTACTCCCAGGTAAGAGGATATAGAATTGAAACCTGTACACTGGTCTTTTCCCAGTTTGGTTCTTCCCGACCTTTTGGATGACAATTCCATAGTTCCTAACCATTGGCCATGCTTGCTGGAACTGATGGGAGAGAAAGTGTGTTGTTTGTTAGTATGTTGTTTTGTTGTTTTGTTGTTTTGTAAGCCATCCACAGACTCTAGTATTGGATGGCATATAAAAACTTTAAATAAATAGAGTCCAAATATTTGGAGGACTCACAGTTGGGAAAAGTTGATGCACAGTATTATTCATGAAGGCATTGCAGATCTTTAGTTCTAGCCTATACTGCCTCATCTGTGAAACATTATCCTGGTACCATCCTCAGAGGATTAAATTGTGCCCCACCGGAGGTCATTGGTCTTCAACTCCTATCAGCTCCAGCCAGCATAGTCAATGGTCAGGGATACTGTAGTCCACAACATCTGATAGCAACAGGCTTCCCCTTCCTGATGTAAAAGTGAATATGTATCCATTCATAAAGGACAAGGTATGTGAGGCTGAAGAGTGGTCCAGTATTTCAGAGTTCACAACCACATATGCGTCGAGACAGTCTCTCACCTGACTGTTTAGTTGTACTTTCCGTGCATCTTCCATATGTCTGGATTTCATGTCCCAGTGAAAAACAGATTTGAACTTCTCACCCTCTTCTCGATACTTAATCTGCATGAAAAACAGACTCAGTGGCAGTGAATACAAAACAAACATCACTTGAAAGAAAGGAAACTCTCTGGCAATAAGTATTACAGAACAAGCTCTGAAGTCTACATGGTATACTTCAAACAGTCTTTCCTACAAAAGAGCCAGACGTTTTAGGAATCAAAATACTAAAACCAGAACCTTCTTCACAGAATGTATGCTTACATTTCAAACAACATTTTGATGACATTTTCATTCAAAAATCTGCCATTGATTTTCAAAACATGGAGACACATTTTGGAAAATGTCCTGAGAACCAGACAAGGAAAATCTCATTTTAAAATTTCTTTCAGAGAATTGTGGACTCTTCTACATGAGGTGTTTCTCACATGCTCAATAATCAGAGGGGTTTTTTTTACAGGTTCTTCAAACAACAGCATGATTTCCCAGTTTCACTTCTGTGTTTACAGCAGTGAAAATGAAGCTTTTAATTGTGAATACTAAAAAAGCATGTTTTTCTCTTGTGTATTTATGCTATTCTGCTATGCCTCAGTGCCACCTAGAGGTTATCCAGCAGAAAAGCAGGAAAGAAAATGCTCCTCATACAGAGCTTGGATATCAGTTCTGCAGCAAACTGAAAGTTGATACAGCAGGTTAACAGCCTTGTGTAGAAAGGAACAGTATGTCAATCTTCCAGTACATGCATATTAAAAAGAACTTGGAAGCGAATATCTTCCTATATATACCAACTGAATGTCAAAACAGAAATTTAACCTCAATTATTCATTTTTCCATATTAGGCCCAGTATCTTCTGTATGTAATACATTTTCCATGCTTACTGCAAAAAGGTTTACTTGACTCAGATGCATACATTAACATGAACTGCAAACACAGTATCTTTATTTTCACATTAAAAGTGTCACATGAGCAAGACAAAATCATAAAGCAGTTCTTCAATTTAACACAATTCAGTGCAACAGATCAAGCTGTGCACCCAATGAAGTATACCAAAACACAGTGTTCAAAGCATATGAAAAGGCAATAACTAGAGCATAGTGAAGTCAATAACCAAAGTAAGGACAGAATTTTACTACAGTGAGGCAAAGGAAGATGTCCAAGAGCACTTCTCTCTAGATTGATCCCCAAATGTTACAGAAATTAAAATAAATTGTTTTATTATAATAAATAATCAGCTCCTCATGGGTCCCTCAAATGTGCTCCATAGGATTGTGGGACTTGCTGGACTAAATCTGGGGCACTGCAGGGGTGAGAAGAGGACAGAAAAATCCTGCTGTGTAAGCAAATATCCACTCATGTGAGGGTTAGAGTCAACTGAAAGGAATCACACATAAAACAAAGCAAAGTTACAGGGATGTTGTTGTTGTTGTTGTTGTTGTTGTTGTTGTTATTATTATTATTCCAAGCAGCAGTGGGAATCAAATCTGTCCCAAGTGCGGGTTTGCTAACTGGACATCTTGGGACATTTCATGTCATGTGAAAGTCATGTGAAGGGAGATTCCTGACATGCCATTTCTGAGTCTCTAGCTGATGCTGGAATCATTGAAGAGATGTGAGGGGCATAGCTTTGGTTGTTGGGTGGTAGGGAAATAAAGTAAGGCACATTTTTAAAAAATGATTAGCACTTCCTCCATCTTTACTCTCTGCTCAGTTGTTGATTGATTGATTGATTGATTGATTGATTGATTGATTTATTTGGAACACTTGTATGCTGCCCCATTCACATAAGCCTTGGGGTGGCTTCCAGTACATAAATAAATATATTTCTATACAAAATACATAAATTACTGGAGCCATCCTGGCAACAAATTTAAAATCAATAAATAAAACCAACAGTTAAAATAATGTTTAAATAAAAAGGTCTTGGCCTGGTGCTGAAAAACAAATAACGATGGCGCCAGGCGGACCTCTCTGGGGAGCGTGTTCCATAAGTTGGGCGCCATCACAAGAGACAAACTGAGAAAGAAAGGAGAGAATAATGCACCATGCTTTCCTACATCTGTAAATACCCTTTCATAAGACACACTCTGAAATTCTATTCATTGCCCACTGATCCATTTGAATGGTTTTGTTAAGAGCTAAATCCACTGGGAGGAATACAAGTAAGGCAGAAGTTGGAGTAGATTTGGCAATGAGCTGTATAGTTTGTTAATATTTTGGGAGAAGCTATGTAGCCACATGAGCCTGTTAATCTGCTGTATCTGCTTTCATCTTCGTCAGATAGCTGAGATCTGAACCCTTCACAAGCAGCATTTCCCTTCTTGCTTTTGCAGTACATAACCTCTAGATGACATTGTCGTAAAGTGGAATAGCATAAATACACAAGAGGAAATCGTACTTCCCTTTGCTTTCACAGTGAAATGCTTTATTTTCCTCGTTCCAGAAAAGGAAAAGAAAGTGCTGGTTGTACCCAGACTGGAATGGGAAAGGCACAACATCATCTGAGTAGGGATGTCAAGTGAGTGTATTGACTTCTTGATTTAGTATCAACTTTCCAAAATGAATCTCATGTACAAATTACAAAATATTAATATGAGCACCATCTATGAGAGTATATATGGAATTCTTTAGAATTACCTTGCAAAGGAAAAATATAGAATATGGCTTATGAGAGCAATATTTTGCATACAAAATGTAATATTGTTATTCTTTTCTCACCATGTGTTAAGAATTCAGTCTGTGCACACTCCGCCTCCACAAAACCCAAATAATGTATTTCTAAGTATGCAAAGGTTTAGTTTCCTATTCCTAGTATGAACACTGAGAAAAATATACATTTTTCATTTAGGAAATTTGGAAAATTGTAATAGGGAGCACTTTAACAAATTTTGAAAGCACAGAAATATCTCAGAGGGTTTCCTGCAGTTTTAACCTGAGGGGTGAAACAGAAATCTAGCAACTCCCTGACATATCAATTCATTTACCCAATGCAACCATGTAAAACTTACTCAACTTTATATTTTTGTTAAAAAGTCAGATCCTAGTGCCAGGTTGATCAGAGGTTTGAAAAACCGTTTTTGTTGTTCAACGAACCTGCACATACTTTCTGGTTTGGTGTCAAAGACTCAACAGTTTCAGCAGAGTTTTCCTTTGAGTTTTCTGGTGCATTTGAAATAAAAGTTCAAAGGAAGTCTTGGACTGTGAAACAAAGCTACAGAAAACGTTTGCATGAACTCCTGGGACTGAACTATTAGATCAGCATTTCTAGCATTTTATTTTATTTTATTAGTGAGAAAGGATGTGGATTTTCAGTGGTATATTAGCCAAAGGAACAACTAAGAGGTCCAGCAAGTCTTCTTTTGCTGAAACTTTTCCTTATTTCCTTTGGTGGGTATAGCCAGCGTTTTTTAAAGTGCATAAAATAAGCCTGAAGTTCAGTCTTGATATTTTCACTATTTTATCACTACCATAATCTCCTTGAGTTGATTTGGATGCACAACTTTGTATACATGCTTTGGATACACAGATCCAAAGCATTCCTCATTGCTTTAATGCCTGGGATAGCTCTGAATGTACAGTCTTAATGTAAGCGTGAAACTGACCTTCATATTGAAATGTGGGTGGGGAGAGTTTTGCTTATCCCCAGCTCTGGTCATTTCATTGCAACTTTGATGATGATGACTCAGACTGATCATGTTTTATTCTCTGGCTTTGCAGTGTAACTCCACAGCAGAACTCTGCATAGCCCAGCCTAATCTGATCTCTAGCTGAGCATTTGCACTGATACCGAATTTTATCCATTTCCTCTAGGCCTGAAGGCACTTAGCACTTAGGTGCCCTTCCCTTCATGCAGTTACAGCCCTACCATTCAGCAGTACAGCAACTGCCTCAAGCAGTTCATGTTGGCCGGCAGGACATGGAAGCAAAGTGTTGGGAGACAAGGCTGCGTGTGCTTCCTGGCAGCCTCTGCAGCCCCCAGGGCAGGCTGCTGCACTCAGATGATGAAGTGGCAGGTGCCAGCTCACTGTTAGGGCTGAAGTCAGCTTCAGCACATGGAACTGGGGGAGGGAGAGTCTTGCCTTTTGCTTCAGGTGGCAAAATATGATCCAGATATAGTCCAGTTTAAAGCAAAGCCAATTCAGCATAAAGAACTGAGATTGCTCATCAGATATTCTTTTATTACTTTCAAAAAGAAATAGGCTGAGAAAAAAAGAGAGTCTGTTTCCTCAGCATCAAAATGCTCTCCCTTTCACGGTAAATGGGAAGTATTTAATGATGAGATTTCTTTTTTATGACTAAGTATTTTGTGTTTAGAATTCTGATAGGCTAGGATCGCTCATGTTCTAAGCAGAGGTATCACTGCACTCCTTGTAAACAAAGGGTCAGTGTGATTAAGGCTCAGTGTAACTAGAGCTGTGCTGGATTAGCATAACCAGAGCTGTTGGAACCACCTGAGAAGAGAAGAAGAAGATGATGGAAAGCAGCAGCAGAGGGTGAAACGGCAGCTTTGAACAGTTGCATATAAGCCTAAAGGATTTTTAAAGGAGGAAATAGGCTCGGGTCTGCAATCACCCTTAGCATGGCTATGCTAAGTCAGTCTAACATAAAACACATTCATTCCTAAAGCATCTTACCTCGCTTACCGCTTCAGACTGTTTTTTCACATTCATGTTTATTGGTGTTTCAAAAACGCTTGTGAATGTATTGTTTTTAGGATTATGTCTACAAAAGAAAGCAGGTATAAGTTTAGAAAACTATTACGAATGCTATTTCAGTATAGAAGAATGGCAGACAGACAAATACAGGAAGGCAGCATCTTAAAACACTGAACTGACATTCCAAAATGCAACTAAAAACTTACCTAGACATTTTTCCTTTTAGGAGTTGCCTAGATCTTAATAAATTCTAATAATCATTTGATTAGCATTGTGCTTTTAGCTACAAAAGTGCATAACAATAAAAAACAAAAAACACCATCTACTCTTTTATTCTAGAAAACACGGTTAAGAGGAAATGAGTATGGCTTCTTTTTAAATGCATTGAATAATTTGCAACTTGAAAACTATAGTTCACGTCTCTTTCTGATTTAAAAACTATCCATATATTAGCATTTACACAAATAGAGATTGAGATTGTGAATATTTGATACTTTTAAAAGAAGCCCCAAATGATCCACATGTATGGGGAACTTGACCTTTTATGTCACTATGGAAACACCATACAATTTTCCCCTTCATCAGCACTGCTCAGAATTACTATATTGGGCGAGTCTGCACACCATGGTAAACTAGACTGCTACAGTCTGGTTTACAAACTACCACCTGAGAGATGATTGTGCATGTGGGTAGGATGCCCTATGTCTCCACCTCTTCTGTTGGTTTTCCCACAAAAATCAAACAGGACACTGTGGGAGCACCAAGGTTTCCCACTTTTCAGCAGGGTTGTGGTGGAGAGAATCAGAGATCACTGACCATTCTTAGCTCTATTCACAAATAGACAGTGTGATCCTGTGTTATCTTAAAGTACAAGGTAACACAGGAACTCCATGAATAGGCTTCCCATGTCGGCTTGCTTGCTTTAAATAATCATTAGTTGGGAAACAGCAGCTGATTTATATTAGTATGCTATCCCTGTTGGAGGATGTGTTAAGCCCATGCTGTGTCCCAGATGAAAATGGATACAAAAAGTTAATATTTAGCGCATGGGGCAAAGTATACATCTACCATTCAGGTTCTTGTTTCAACTCGAAGGCAAATAGCACTTTTGGGGTAATGGCGATTTGCACTGGGAAAATAGCATGGAGAGAAAGGGTTGCCATGCATGAGACTATCTGGGCCCATTTCATTCAGGTTGTGCTTTTGGCAACAAAACAGCGTTGCTTGCCCTATACAACCGCTTATGTCAAGAGAGCTGGGGAAGTGTGACTGTGCTGATACTCCTGGATCTCTTGGCAGCTTTCAGTCCCATTAACCACGGGATCATTCTGGGACAGATGTCTGAGCAGGGCAGGTGGTTACTGCAGTGCAGTGGTTCCATTCCTGCTTGGATGGCCAGCAGCAGGAGGTGGTGCTTGGCAAATATGGCTCAGCCCTATGGATTATTCTGTCGTCACTCTTATCCCCCATGCCCCTTAACTTCTTCATGAAGCCACTGAATGGGACCATCTGGAGTTTGGGAGTGCACTGCCATCAGTATGTGGGTAACATGCAGCTCTCTTTCTTTTTTCTTCTTGCTCAAGTGAGGCTGTGGATGTGCTATTCTGCGTCTGGTCTGGATGAAAGCTAATAAAGTGGAGACAAAATCTAGATGAACTGAAATGCTACTGGTTGCTAATTTCTATCTGGCTGGGGCTGTTCAACCTGCTATGAATGAGGTTGCATTCCCCCAGTAGGAGCACTTTTGTTGCTTGGGAGTTCTCTTTGAACTTGACCTCAGTGGCCCAGAGTGTCATCTACCAGTTAACTTGTGACCCAGCTACATGCCTATCTGGACGGGAATAACCTGGCTTCAGTAAACTATGTTCTCTGAGCTCCAAGTTGAGACTATTACAATAGACTTTACGTGCGGCTACCCCTGAAGCAGCAGCTTGTACAAAATGCAGCACGCAGATTAATAACTGGGTGCCAACAGTCCGGCCATATAAAAACACTTCCAAGGTCTACACAGCTTGGGACTACAATACCTGATATAATGCTTCTTCTGACCTGAACCTACCTAGACACTATGATCTTCACATGAAGCAATCCTTTGAGTGTCACCTTCAAGGGAGACTTGGAGCAAGGCAACAAACAAGAGGGCCTTCTCAGCAATGGCACCGCACGTATGGAATGATTTGTGCATAGAGGCCTGGCACAATACCGTAATTCCTTTGGCACCAAGTTAAGACTGCCCTCTACTCCCAGGTGCTTAATAGACTATGGTAGGACATGTTACTTGCTCTATTAGATCTAGTATTTATTGAAATTATTTTGGCTTTTTAAATTCTTTTAAATTCTGTATTGGGATTTTATGCTATATTTATTTTATTACTGTAATTGTATTTCATTATCCATTCTGTGATTGTATCCATTATGAATTACTGTGATGGTCCAGAGAATTTTGGCTACTAGGCTCTATAGCATCAATAATAATGTTAATGAAAAGATAATACAGAGTTACACCTATTTGTTTTGGTTGCTTGTTTTTCAAAAGGGGAGTCATCTTAATGGATCTCCCACATTTCACCTAGTTTGATTTTTAATCAAGATATTTCTCAGGGTTGACATGAAGCTAAATTACTACTTTGACTCCTTTGGATACAACTGCAATGTCAAAATCTGCTATTTAAAAGATTTAACATGGTTTCACCTGTGTTATCCATTGGGTATATTTATTCACATCTAGCTCATAAACTGGATGTCACAATATTTATTACCTAAAGTGTAATGGGACTATTTGAGCATGCTTTGCTTTGTCTTGTTTTGTTTGTTCCAATGTGGCTGCAATTCTAGGATTGCCTATAACTCTATACTCTGAAAACTGAAACAAATTAATTGGGGGTAGGGGAAGAATGAACTGATATCTTTGGCAGTATCAAAATTTAATCCAGTCAGAGCCTGTTGATGGATTATACAGCCATAACATTGTCTTGATAGAAGACTAAAGACACACTTACGCTTGACAGTATGGCCTTTTCTCATGGCTAACAAAGTTATTTACGGTTAGCACCATCTTGCAGACCTCGCAGTGAAAGCAGGCTTTGTGCCATGTCTAAAAATAGCAAGAAAAAAATACAGTGAAAGTTGCTTGTGTTTCATATTTTATTTAAGTCTGTTTTTAAAGCTCATAACTAATTATTCTTGGCAGTTGAATACACAACTGCTACCACTGTATGAAAAAGTATATGTCAAAGACCAATTTGTCACACATAACCTTTAAGAGATGTAAAGCATTCTCCCAAATTATATACTTAGTAAAGTTCAGAGCTGACGTTCAACTCATTCAACATGAATAAAGGTTATGATAGTTTGGGATATTTGCTCTGAGTTCAGTTAAAGCAGATATAGACTATCTAGCCAAAGAGTATTATACAAAAGTTTTCATAATGGACAGTGTAACAAAATCTACTGACCTGGTCAATACAGTTAATCTTCTCTGCAGGATAAACCCCATATTGACATCTGGCACAAGGCTGAATATTCATTTTTGTATTGTCCAAAGAGATAAACGTATTATCAGAATTTCAGAGGATACAATTATATGCTTAGCTTCCTGTGAAACACACACCAATCTATCCGTTCCAAGCCACAGTCCAAAGCTTCTACCTCCTGTTTGATGAAGTTCTGCTTCAAACTCAGCTGTTGTCTGGTTTTTAAAGCTGCCACTTACTAAGAGAGATTATTTTGGCAACTGTGTAAGAGTTCATGGGAGGGAAAGAGATAGAATTCAGTGACACCTTTCTCTAAATAGAAGACTGAACTCATAGAGGGGTATCATGATCATATGAGCAAGAACATTTAATTGTTAATATTTAAACTATGGAGGTTTAACGCTTAAGTGCCAGGGCTAAAAGTCTGACTTCTAAATATATGTCACTTCGTCTTTAGATTATTATCTGTTAGCCAGGCGTCACCATTACGGAAAGAAGGACAGTGTGAAGCAGTTTCCCAACTAAGTTCAATACACAACAGACTCTGAATTAGTTATTGCCAAATTCTACAGGAACCAGACTGAGAACCCTGTGATTCATATGCTATCTGGACTTAAAGCCCATTGGGTCGTCAGCTTCCAGTGGAACTTATCTACTGAAAAAAAATGCTGATTTTAGGAGTTCTTTATGTAGATTATCATATTCTTCAGGCATGTTCAGCCTTGAAAAGAGAGCACTGAGGGGAACATGATCCCTCTATATCTTTCTATAAGTATCTCAAAGTCTGTCACAAAGAGGAAGGTCCAGATTTCTTCTTGTTGATGTAGGACATGGAATAATCAATTCAAGTTGCAACAACCCAGATTCAGGCTGGACATCAGGAAAAGCTTCCTCACTGTCAGAGCAATACAACATTGGAACCAGCTGCCTAGAGAGGTTGTGGGCTCTCCTACACCAGAGACATTCAAAAAGAAACTGGACAGCCATCTGAAATGGTGTAACGTGATGTCCTGCAACAGCAATGGCCTTCATGGCCTCTTCCAACTCTGCTAGTCTATGATTAAAGGTAAAGGTTTCCCCTTGACATTAAGTCCAGTCATGCCTAACTCTAGGGGGCAGTGCTCATCTCCATTTCCTAGCCGATGGAGCCAGAGTTTGTTCACAGACAGTTTCTGTGGTCATGTGGCCAGCATGCCTAAACACCGAAGTGCATGGAACGCTGTTACCTTCCCAGCGCAGTGGTACCTTTTTATCGACTTGCATTTGCACGCTTTCGAACTGCAAGGTTGGCAGGAGCTGGGATGGAGCAACAGGAACTCACCCCGTTGTGCAGATTGAAACCGGTGACCTTTCAATCAACCAGCCCAGCAGCACAACAGTTTAAACCACTGCACCACCTGCATCCCTTATTCTATGATTACATGCATGAAAAAGCTAATATTTACTCAGAGTCTATAATATAGGGATTAGATCATCTGAAAGAGTTGGCTGGGACATTTTCTTCATAATTCTCACTTGCAACATCTGTCACCAAGACCCCATTTAAATTTGTACAAGTGTGTCACTGTACCCTGTAATTTGCCTAGGTACTCCAGAATGAAACCCCAGGGGGGGTAAGGATTTGCCCTTATGGATCAGTAACTGGTTAAAAACAGAAAGCAGACAATAATAATAACTACTAACGTCTCCCACCATAGATGTGTAAACAGCAGGTTCCCACAGGTATATGTATTGGGACCAATGCTTTTTAATTTGTAAATAAATCATTTGGAATTGAGAGTGAGTGCTGAGCTGGCCAAGTTTGCTAATGACAGCAAATTAATCAGGCTGGTTAAAACAAAAGGGACTTGAGAAGAGCTCCAAAGGAATCTCTCCAAATTGGGAAATGAGCATTAAAATGGCAAATGCAGTCAAATATAAGGATGGGCAAAGTGCATTTTGGGACAAAAAATCCAAACTTCATATAAAATCCGATGGGATCTGAGCTAGCACTACTGTTCTCATCAGGATATTGTAGGGCTAGAAAAAGTGCAGAAAAAAGCAACAAAATCAATCAAAGGGCTGGAGCTATTCCACTACAAGGAAAGGATGCAGCTTCTATAATTGTATCTCTCCCCTTTTCCTTGAACCCAAATCTCCAGAGTCGCAGTCCAGCTTTCCAGGCACTATGCTGGACTGCCTATCTAACAGCTTTGACTGTTCAGCTTAGGAGGAAGACATGTTAGAGGTGTACAAAATTATGCATAGTTTGGGGAAAGTGGGTAGGGAGGCATTTTTCCTCCTCTTTCATAATAGTAGAACCCATGGTCATGCTATGAAGCTGATAGATAGGAGATTTAGGACAATTTTATTTTATTTTTTAATGTGGTCATATATTACACCACATTCCTATAAGTTCTGGGCGCTTAAAAATAAAATCAACAGTAGTTAAAAATTACAACTAAAAACAAGCACATTAGAAAAACTAATCTGGGAAGTCTTCTTGGAAGAGATAAGTCTTTAACTCACTCTCAAAGATAGCAGTCTGGGACATCTGATGTATCTCTCCCAGCAGGCCATTCCATAATTCAGAGGCAAGAAAGTCCGCTGGGTAGTAGACATTGACCTTACAGGGGTAATCTTCAAAAGATTATCCCCAGAGGACCTTGGTGGGCAAAGCAGAATATATGGGCAAAGATGCTCCTGAAAGTATTCTGGACCCAAGCCATAAACAGCTTTAAAGGTAATTACCACACCTTCCACAGCATCTGGAAATGTCCTGGCAAGCAGTGCGGAGACTTTAATATTAGTGAAATGTAATGTCTCCATGATGTTCCAGAGACCAGCCTGGCTGCCATATTTTCTATTAGTTGCATTTTCTGGGGTAGCACAAGGATAGCCCTGTGCAGAGCAGAAACGGAGCCTAGCATCACCAGAGAGGGCACTACTGTTTTCAGGTCACTCTCCAGGAAGAGAGACAGTTGGCTAATCAGCCAAAACTTTTAGCATGCACTGCCGGCCGTGGCATCTGTGCTGAGGTCTGAAGGAAGTACTTCTCAAAAGGAAGTACTTCATCACACAATTAGGCAATGGAATTTACTTCCAGAATATGTGGTGATATGGGTGGTTTTAAATGGAGATTGGAGAAATTCTCCATGGAGAAGACAGTGGAACATGGCTGCTAGTCCTGATAGCTGTTTATTTACCTCCAGTATCAGAGGCGACATACCTTCATATGCCACTCACTGGGGAACATGGGCAGAATTTAAGTCTTGCTTGTGAGCTTCCAGTAGTCAGCAGGCTGATCAGAGTAAAGAGAATGCTGAAGTATATGGACCTCAGTAGGATCTAGCATGGCTTTTCTTATGTAACCCCACCATGGTGAGAAACGATTAACATTTCCCAAAGGAAACTTTCCAGTATTTTGGCCAAGGGAGGGGAGGGGAGCTACAAGCAATGTCAAGAACAGCACATAAATCTCCCATGCCCTGTTTATAGAAAGAACAGTCCACTGTTACACTGGCTGCAAATGCAGTGAAATCCTTCCACAAAGGCATTCAGGCTATGGCAACAGATTGAGCGAAGGACAAAAGGGGAAAATAGCCCAGGAATCAACAGAATAAGCTGCAGATTCATCTCTTGCCTGACAGACAAACCCTGGGTAGGTCAACAAACCGAAGTACAGATCTCATTTTTCCAAACCTTTCTCCTTGAAAATCAAATGTTACTGCATTTTCCAGGCATTTTTTTCTCTTACATGGTTTCCAATTAGTTTAACAATATTTACATCTTTGATTAGGTCCTGGATACAACTTAAGTCCAGGGTCACATCCTCTACAGTCAGTATTATGAGCAACTGTTCTAGGACAGTTATGTAGAGATTAAGGTTTAGTCAATAAATGTACATAGTGTATAGGATTTAGGTCAGTGAAGTTTGTCTTGTGAATCTTGCAAAAGATGTGACTTGTCTTTTGATTTATGGACCATACAATCACAGAGCTCTCTGATTGAATTAGAGTGTTCCAACACATAGCTGTCCAGCTTCTTCTTGAAGACCTCTGGCACAGAAGAGCCTACCACCCCTGCAGGCAATCACTTCTATGAAAATTTGCTATTACCATTAAAACATTTAGTTTAAATTCAACTAAAAATTACCCTGTAAATTAGACACTGAAGGCCTAATCCTGCTGTCTGGGGCAACAGAGCTCATACCCTTGCCCTCTCCTACATGAGAGGAGATGCATGAAAAGGTCTATCACATTTCTCCTCACTCTTTTCTGTAGGCTAAACGTAGCCAGTTCATTCAGCTAGGTGAGTCTCCACAGGAATTACTTTCAAGGACCATCCTTTTTGCCCTCTTCTAAACACATTCCATCTTGTTGACACATTTGATGACACCCTTGCAGTCTGCCACCTAACACTGGACACAGAGTTGATTAATGTATTTCAAATGAGCATAAATATTAAGAGAAGATAACTTCAGACAAGTTGTGCAGCTTGTAATCTCATGCTAGGGCTACAATCTCATATACACCTGCCTGGGAAAGGACTTACATGTGAATGGACATGAAAAGAATAGCGCTGTAGATGTGCACGTTCTTAGATGTGAAAATGGATTTCATCCCAAGAACAGCCCAGCTTGCGTAGGCAGGTCAGGCTGACTCTATGCATGTTTACTTATTGGCTATAAGGATCATGCATTCTCCATGATTAGTATTTGCAGCTATCCATCAAACAAAAATATTTAAATTCAAATTAACACACTATAGAGCATAGTTTATGAAATTGTGGTTCTATTTATTTTTATGTTATTGGATGTTAAAAACTAGAAACTTGGGTTTTACCATCTTTGCATAGAAAGGCCATGCATCCTACATGACTGAAGGGTTCAAGAGTGGAGAAGCAGGGGAAGCATCAAGGATCTTGGTACAGTGAACATTTTCTCCTCATTCATTTGCACCACACTATTAATATACCAGAGCTTACTTGTTTCACTTTTATATCCTATCCTCCTTCAGTGAGCTCAGAGAATATATATGGGAGTTATACTATTGCATACTCACAATACTGGCATACAAAAACTCTTATAATAAGCCAGATTAGTAGTCAATCTAGCTCAGAGCCAAAAAGAAATTTGATAAAGTAAATTGTTATCTAGCAGCTATCTCTCTCCTTCTCATTTTTTTTTTCTGGAGGAGTCACAGGGTCCCCAGTCCAGACTGGGGTCCCAGCATTGAAGGCAGGCTGAAGGGCTACAGTGAGCTGCTGCAGCTATTGAAGTGTAAAAATGGGTGTGGGTGGATAAGAACTGCCAAGCTTGAATTTAAAGTAATGTCTGTTTTGGATTTTTGGAAGCCCAAGCCGTAAGACTATACCGTAACACCTGCTTTTTTTTTTTTTTTTCTTCACTTTTGTGTAATTACAGGAGCCTTGACCTGGATCTGGACTGTTGTGGCCTTCAATTACTTGGAGACATCATCAGTTACAATACCACTTTATTAGGCGACAGGGATGCTGAAGTAGATAGGCCACCAGTGTTGATGTGCAGAACTCCGCCTGGTTTCAGAATTGTTGCTCATATACAGGATGGGTGGCCAAATCGTGGCTTGCGACTGCACACAACTCTTTGAGTTTATCCTGCAGCTGTCCTAGGGGCCAAAAAGGCCTATAGTATAGTAGGTCTCTATTCACCTCCAGCATGGAGCAGGGAAGGGATGGGACGGGGTGCACCCGATCCGACAAAATGCAGAATTGAGACCGAGGCTAGTATGCAAATGAATGTCAAGACCCCAGCAGAGCCCACCATTAATGCTTGCCTAAGGTCTGAAATGCAAAAATGAATATATTTAGGCCCTGCTCTACACTGGTGGAGAGAGGAGATTATGAAAAATGTAAAGAGACAAGTTCTAGTCACCTGGTCTTGCTCAGACCACTTGGGAGACCTGCCACTGCTGTCCACCTTAGCCATGGACTACTGATGAAAGAGGAGCCCTTGTAAGAAGCACTGTGTCCAAGTCTCCTCACAGCTGGAGTCAGCCCTGGCCGTAGGTTAGGCTGAATGTGTGTTTCCCCAGAATCATATCAGTGAGCTTCCTGCCTGAGCAGGGATTCCAGCACAGGTCCACCAGTTGCAAATCATAGTGACTGTGCTGCGTGTGACTTCCAGGAAGAACCCAACTCTCCCCTTTCTGCAGTGCCCTCTTGCCTCACCCTCTGCTGGGTGGCAGCTGACTGGTGTCCTGCCGCCTACAGCGTCACTGGTGCAGCCAGTAGTTGTATAATCGGGGCTTGATTACTTTGGCAGCAGAAGCGTTACACGGCCACTTGGATCGCCTTGCTTCTGCAGCACACAACTGACGTCGGGCGCTCTCCCCTCTGGCCATTCCGCGCTCCGCAGCTGCTTTTTCGAACTGCCAAGTCCATGTTCATGCAGCGTTTCATATAAACCCTCCTAAAACCATAGCACCGTCGTGACTGCAACAACCAGTACGAAGTTTGCTTCTGGTCTCCGACGCCACCTGTCACTCTCATAGGGCACGTTGCGGATTTTCTGGTAGGGTCTGGCCTATGGTCCCACTGCAGGGTTGGGGGGTGTTGTTGCTGAAGTTCAGGCTAGGTAGGCTCTGCTTCCAAGCCGCTCGGCTCAGAGCAGGAAACACAGCTCAAAAAAAGTTTCCAGTCCGCTGAGTGTCGTTAGCGGGAAGAAGTTCCCCGGAGGCTGAAGCTCAGAAGGAGGCGCTACTCCGCCCCAGCCTCATAGGCGGAAGGGACGGTAGGAGGGAGTTCAAAGTCAGCCCCGCGCCCGCTTCCTGTGCAGCTTTTGCTTTCGATTTTGCTTGAATTTCCACGGAGTGGGGAGCAGACGCTGCAGGGCCCCTGGTCGACCCTTCCTCATGGAGCAGAAGCAGGCAAGTCTCCTCGGGGACCCCCCCTTTCCCAGGCTCACCCCTCTCCTCTCATTCAGCCAGGCCGGATCTCGGCTCGTCCGCCCGCTTTTGGCCCTGCCCCGTCTCGCCCTTCTCGGCGAGCGTCTCCTTTCTGCCCTGCGCTTCATCCTTTGATCCGTTCTTGTCCCGGACTCTCTTATAGCGTACCAAAACCCAGTGCCTCGACCATCGCCTTGTATCTGCTGATTGTGTATCCCCACGTACTGCCCCAGTTTCTCCATTCCATCGCTAGGCACGCATGCACCCCCCTTCACTAGCTCGCATTCTGTCCCTGAGGCTGCTCCATTTGTGTTAGCAAACGCCTGTTGCATTTCCATGTGCCGCTAGAGCTGTTGAATGAGACAAGCCTGGCTTCTCTCAGGATTGAATCTCAGCACTAGAACACACTGTCCTCGTGTACATCTGCTTGCTGGTAGCTGTCAGATGCCTCTGCTTTGGTCCAGCATTGCACCTTCAGGCTAGGGATAGCTGACCTGGCCAAATATTAACTGTCATGAAGCTGTAAAAGATACTAGGGCATCTATCATGGAGGGGTGTTATCAATTGTACCTCAACCTTAATTGATAGATTCCATTTTATTACTTACTCCTATATAATATTAGCGTTCTACTCTATATGCAAGGTCACAGTTATGCACTGATTCAACCATAGCCAACCCCAAACTCATATCTATAAAACTCTTAATAGACAACTAACTGAGTTTCAGTTTGTTTGAAATCTGTTACTGCATTTTAAACCTTTGCACTGTGGCTAGGTTTTACTTTTTAAATGTAACCTATTGTTTTAAATGTGTGTATAGTATTTTATCATGTTGAATTTTATTATTTTAATTGATGTGAACCACCCAGAAAGCTTCAGCTATTGGGTAGCATAGAAATGTAATAAATACATAAAATTATATTTCATTATGGATATATAGAGGTCAGACTGCCACTCTTCTCAGGCACTGTTATTTCTTCATCCCAGAAGCAAAGAAGGAACTGACTTCTAACTGGAAAAATTGCATATTACCACCCTTACTTTGCAGTTGTCTTTCTTAAGAAATAAGAGGTATCCTGGTATCCAGTGGGGTTCTTCTGCAAAGGTGAACAATGCTAGCAGAATTCCACCAACTCTTTCTGTTGTAAAAGCAGGTGGTAAAGCATTTGCACAATCATTTGCATAGGCAGTGTGCCAGCACACTATATGCGCAGCATGCTGGCACAACCACTTATGTAACTGTGCTTGAACACTTATAACTCAGTGGATCCGTCTCTTTTACATAGGTAAGAATTTATGTTTCCACTAGTTCAGTGTCATTTGGGTGCTGACCAATACATCTTCAAGCACAATAGGTATCCTCTTAAAACTAGATTTTTCACCTAATAGAAGAACTTACGATGGGGAGGCAGAACATTTAGCAGACAGCTGGATTGTACTTTTAGGTGAAATTGAATCAGGCAAGTTAATATCATTCATCTAAAAGTTAGATATGCAACACAATCACATGCCTTGGAATTAACTTGTACTAAATTCACTGGGACTTACTGCCTGGTAAGTGTACAATCTTAAAAGATTTGGTTCAATCCCTCTCATCCATATTTTGTACACATAATTCTGTATACACAGCCAACAACACTTTCCTTGCCAGCAGTGCTCCTTCCATTTTGTTAGCAGAGTATATCAAGAAAGTAAGGATTTATTGAACACATATGCTCAACCAAGTTGAATTTCACACCTAATTTTGGGAATTTGAATTCAGATTCTAAAAATTTTCATAAATAAAACATCTATCAGCTTTAGTAATACTGTCTTTCTAAAACTCAAAACTGGGAAGAAAACAGATGAGCAGCAACAGTATTTTTAAGTCTGTTGATCATAGAATTCTCATTTATCTAAATAGCTGGCAGAAGACCTTTCTGATCCTGCATCACCTCATATGGATGAAAGTGATGACGGAAGCTATGATGATGAAACAGATGCAAAGCCAGACAGAAGAAGTCGATTCTCAATGTTTGGGAAGTAAGAAACACTCATTTTAAGAAATAGAAAAAAAATACTTAGTGCACAAATCTATGCATGTCTAGGTGGAAAACTGACTATGTTTTCCAGCATATCCTAGCTATCTATGCTGGGTGTTAGAAGCATTTTTTTTCTGTACAAACATGCATGGAATCATGCCTTTATTTTCTCTAAATTGTTTTGCATTTAAGATTTTTGTTCCTAATTTGTATGCACCTAACTTTAAAACGAAACCATCCTCTGACTGGTGATAATTAATCTTTACATTGGATTTGTTGATAAAATTACTGCAGGAAAATGCAAAGTTATAAATTTTTCTACTCATTTTTCCCCTTTAGTATAATATAATCTCATTTTTGTAGCGAACACAGAACACATAGTAGAGTGTAAAGTAACTTACATCAAGTTGGATTCATAGGGAGCCAGTGCCTAACATATTATGAGTGCTTAATAAAGATAGCATGATAATATGGCTTCATATTGTATATTCCACATACTGTATCTAATCCTAGCCTTATAGTTATGTTGGGAGGCTATTCACCTAGTCAGAGACATCGTCTACTTTATTATCATCATCATCATCATCATCAATTAATCATCATCGCATCTTCAGATGAACAGGTTGAATGAGAGAGAATAAAGGATTCAGCTTCTTTTCCACTTCATAGTTTCCATTCTCAAAATAGAAGCTTTTGCTCCAAGCAGGTGGAATTTCCGCCTTATCAGAGCCACCGGGCAGCTCATGCCAGCACAGCAAAGGCCTTGTGACTGGATGAGTTTGAAAGGCAGGTAACCCACTATAAATCCTGCAGATAGATCAGCAAATGGGAAAGCAGGGCAAGGTACAATTCAATAATGTCTCTACTGCTTCCCCTTTATCCTGTTTAAGGATGTATTGGTGACAGGAAAGACGGAATAAGAGTTACATCTTGTATTATAAATTTACCTTGCATTTGTTATAGTTGAATATTGAGCTTTATTCTAAACTGAATTTTGAAACACTAAATATCAAGAATATACATTCATTCAATAATTCCCATGCATAGTAAACAGTTATGTTAAATTCATTTATTAACTCATGGGTCAAATATAATCTTATTTGTTTAGGTTTGGGGCAGGTGGGTTTGGCAGGGCAAAGTGCAACGCATAATGAACCTGACTTCTTTTACCTGTGCTTGGTAAATTTTGGCCAGTTTGACTGGCTTCTATTTTTGAAACCAGAATTTGGAAGCCCGCAGAACAGCCCATCTGAACTCGTATGTGTGCACTTTAAATCTCTGACATCTAGCAGAGTAAGTATATGTACTTGGTACATGTACCAAGTATATGTGTGTACTTGGTCTGCTCCCCTGGGATTCTCTAATTAAATGCTTGGTATCTGGCAGAGATATTGTTGTGCTGCTCTAGCATACGGGGAGCTGTGCACGTTACCCAGATGGGATATTTTAAGCTTCTGTGTACTCTTGTGCTCTCCATTGCTCATGTGCATGCACAGATGCGTGCACACATGCACACTGTGGTGTGTGGATCTGTGACTTGAAGAGCCTAGAATTCTTACAGATGAGCGCCACCTTGAGCTTTTCGAAATGACCTGTCAAAGGACTTTTGGAACATGTAAATCTCTGCTGACCATGCTGCGTAGAATCGTCTGGACAAGTACGAACTAAGAAATATTTTTGGTTATCCTTATGTTGCTGTTGTTTCTGCTGTATAATAGATTTTCATTACTTCATATGAATATTATCTTCAAAGGGATTAATGTGTGCTCCCTTATTTTTATACAAAAACCTACTATTATGCTTTAGTTAACATGTTTTCTTTAAAAAACTTCATGCCCAGATTTGCAAGAGGGATCCAGAACATTATCCAAAGGCCAAGACATTGACAATGGTTCTCCTTTTCTCCAAGGTTTGCACTTATACTGGGCAGGTCTTCAGTAGCCCTCTATAACTTGGGGTAGCCTTAATACGAATTAGTCCAGGCTTGCACAGATGTGACTCTTGCACAGATGTGGTCAGAAGTTTAAATACTATTTTTAAAGGAATCTTCTACAATTAACCCATCACCAGATGGTCAACATCGAAAGCAGATTGATTATGTGCTCTGCAGCCAAAGATGGGGAAGCTCTATCCAGTCAATAAAAACAAAACCTGGAAGCTGACTGTGTCTCAGATCATGAGTTTCATTTGCAAAACTCAGGCTTAAATTGAAGAAAGTAGGGGAAAGCACTCGGCCAGTCAGGTATGACCTAAATCATATTCCTTATGAATATACAGTTGAGGTGACAAATAGATTTAAGGGATTATATTTGATAGACTGAGTGCCTGAAGAACTATGGACAGAGGTTTGCAACACTGTACGGGACGTAGTAACTAAAATCATCCTAAAGAAAAAGAAATGCAAGAAAGCAAAATGGCTATATGAGGAGGCTTTACAAATAGCTGAGAAAAGAAGGGAAGCGAAAGGCAAGGGAGGAAGGGAAAGATACACCCAATTGAATGCAGAATTCCAGAGAATAGCTAGAAGAGATAAGGCTTTATTAAATGGACAGTGCAAAGAAATTGAGGAAAACAATAGAATGGGAAAGATTAGAGATCTCGGCAAGAAAAATGGAGATACATTTCCATTGAAGTTTCATGCAAAGAGGTACATGACAAAGGATAAAAATGGCAGGGTCCTAACAGAGGCAGATGAGATTAAGAAGAGGTGGCAAGATTACAGGGAAGAACTATACAAGAAAGATCTTAATGCCCTTGATAACCATGAGAGTGTTATCACTGACCTCAAGTCAGATGTCCTGGAGTGTGATGTTGAATGGGCCTTAGGAAGTCATAAGCAACAACAAAGCTAGTGGAAGTAAAAGTGCTACACTCAGTATGCCAGCAAATTTGGAAAACTCAACAGTGGCCACAGAATTGGAAAAGGTCAGTTTATATCCCAATCTCAAAGAAGGGCAATGCCAAAGAATGTTCAAACTACCACGCCATTGCATTCATTTCACACACTAGCAAAGTTATGCTCAAAATCCTACAAGCTAGGCTCCAGCAGTATGTGGACCGAGAACTATCAGAAGTACAAGCAGGGTTTCGAAGAGGCAAAGAAACTAGAGATCAAATTGCCAACATATGCTGGGTCATGGAGAAAGCTAGGGAGTTCCAAAAAGATATCTACTTTTGCTTCATTGACTATGCTTAAAGCCTTTGTTGATCACAACAAATTGTGTCAAGTTCTTAAAGAGATGGGAGTACCAGACCATCTTATTTGCCTCTTGAGAAACCTATATGCGGCTCAAGAAGCAACACTTAGAACTAGACATGGAACAACTGATTGGTTCAAAATTGTGAAAGGAGTACAGCAAAGCTGTGTATTGTCACTCTGCCTATTTAACTTATATGCAGAGTACATCATGCAGGCCAGATGAATCTCAAGCTGAAATTAAGATTGCTGGGAGAAATAGCAACAACCTCAAATATGGTGAAGAGGAACTAAAAAGCCTCTTGATGCGGGTGAAAGAGGAGAGTGCAAAAGTTGGCTTGAAACTCAACATTAAGAAAACTAAGATCATGGCATCCAGTCCTATCACTTCCTGGCAAATAGATGGGGAAGAAATGTGGAGGTAGTGTCAGATTTTATTTCCCTGGGCTCCAATATCACGGCATATGGTGACTGCAGCCAAGAAATTAAAAGATGCTTGCACCTTGGGAGGAAAGCTATGGCAAATCTAGACAGCATACTAAAAAGCAGAGACATCACCCTGCCAACAAATGTGCGTATAGTTAAGGCTGTGGTTTTCCCAGTTGCATTGTATGGCTGTGAAAGCTGGACCTTAAGTAAGTCTGAGTGCCGGACAATTGAGGCCTTTGAATTGTGGTGCTGGAGAAGACTCCTGTGAGTCCCTTGGACTGCGAGGAGATGAAACCAGTCAGTCTTAGAGGAGAGCAACCCTGACTGCTCTTTAGAAGGCCAGATCCTGAAGATGAGACTCAAATACTTTGGCCACCTAATGAGAAGGAAGGACTCCCTGGAGAAGAGCCTAATGCTGCGAATGGTTGAAGGCAAAAGCAAAAGGGGACGGCAAAGGTTGAGATGGCTGAATGGGTTCACTGAGGAGGTGGGTATGGGTTGGGTGTACTCTGGGTTATGGTGGAGGGCAGCAGAACCTGGGGAATGTTGTCCATGGGGTTGCAAAGAGTCGGACACAACATTGTGACTGAACAACAACAGCCACCCATCCCCCCCACCTCACAAACCCCTTAAACTAGGGGTTAGCCCTTGTGTTGTACAGGCTATGTCCTGTCCCTTAGCATGAAACTAGAAAGTTCCCTTCCCTATTACGTTATAAAGTAGGGAGAAATTTTGTGTGCAACCCTTTGTTTTGGTTTCTCTTTTCATCACTAGGGCATAGTTTGGCAGAGTAAGAAGCAGAGAAGAGAATTCTTGTATATGCCCTGTTCTTTGTCCCTTTCATATAGGCATATTGAAGGAAAGAAATAAAAAACTATGCAAATGGAAGGAGAATTCCCTTGCTGCATGCTTTTATTTTTTTTTACTCTGCAGCATTTCACAGAGATAAGAAGGAAGCCTTGCTTATGATAATGATGTACAGTGCAACTTTTTGAAATTTCTGTTTCCAATGCAAACAGGTTGGCCCTTGTCCTAAAATACTGCATAGTATTTGACTGTTCATCCTACCTCCTTTCATTGATTTGATGCAGAGGTTCTGTCATTTACTATTGATTAATTTTAAGGTTTGACTTCTCTTTTTTATATTCTAAGGAAATTGCTGTTTTTAAAATAGAATAAAATTCTTTATATTTTATTTCCACTAGATGGCAGACAAATATAAGTTTTGCTTCATAGCCACTGTACAATGAGCAGAAAGTAGTATTTCCAAAGTACAGTCAGACAATACTTTTATTAGAATCAATGAAATAAGAATCACTGGAAGTGTAGACAAGCGGATGCGTTTTCCCAATCTCTTCTTCAATCAAGATGTAACA